ATCACCCAAATTAGGAGCATCTAAATATAGAAAGCAAATCTTCATGAACATAAAAGGAGAGATCAATAGTCATAGTGGGAGATTTTAACCCCCCATTGATATCAATGGATAGATCTTCCAGACAAGGAAACAGCAGTTTTAAATGACACAGTAGACCAGATGGATTTAATTGATATTTTCAGAGCATTACACCCCAAAGCAGCAGAATATACATTATTATCAAGTGCACATGAAACATTTTCTAGGATAGATCACATTTTAGGACACAAAATAAGTCTAAATAAATTTACATTTGAAATAATATCAACCATCTTCTTTACCACATAGGTAAGAAACTAGAAATCAATTATAAGGAAAAAACTGAAAAATATACAAACACATGGAGGTCAAATAACATGGCACTAAACAATGAATGGGTTTACAATGAGATCAAGAAATAAAATGATACCTTCAGACAAATGAAAATGAAAATATAACAACCCAAAATCTATTGGACACAGTGAAAACAGTCCTAAGAGGAAATCTCAAGAAACAAGAAAAATCTCAAATAACCTATCTAACCTTACACATAAAGACACTAGAAAAAAAAAAAGCTCAGTGAATAGAAGGAAGGAAATAATAAAGAACAGAAATAAAATAATAATACAATAGATCAATGAAACCAAGAGATGGTTCTTTGAAAAGATAAACAAGATGGATAAACCTTTGATTTGACTCATCAAGAAAAGGAGAGAGAAGACCCAAATAAGTAAAATAAGAAATGAAAGAATATAAGTAACAAATGACACCACAGAAATATGAATAATTGTAAGAAAATATTATGAACAACTACATGTCAACAAATTGCACAATTAGTAAGAAATTGATAAATTCCTACAAACATACAATCTTCCAAAACTGAATCAAGAAGAAACAGAAAATATGAACAAATGACAACTAATGAAATAGAAATGGTAATAAAAAAACTCCCAACAAATAAAAGTCCTCAACCAGATGGCTTCACAGGTGAATTTTACCACATGTTCAAAGAAGAATTAACACTTATTCTTCTCATATTATTCCAAAAATTCAAGGGGAGGGAAGATTCCCAAACTCATTTTACATGGCCAGTATTATGTTCATTTCAAAACCAGATAAAGACACTATAAAGAAAGTAAATTGTGCACCAATACCCTTGATAAATATAGATGCAAAAATCTTCAACAAAATATTAGCAAACCAAATCCAGCAATACATTAAAAAGATCATGCCCCGTGATCAAATGGGACTGATTCTGGGGATGCAAGGTTGACACAATATCTGCAAATCAATTAGTGCGATACACCACATAAATAAAATGAAGGATAAAAATCATATGAGTCTGTCCAGAATGCATCCAGCCATGTAATATGAAAAATGGAGACATTTATTGAAGATACAAGATACAAGAAACAGTGGACACAGGGCAATAACTCCTCAGTCCCTTTCAAAGTAGGCACCTGGGACCTCACACAGTTCTCCCAATTGCCATCAGCTGTGCCATCATATTTTCCTGAATCTCATTCATGGTCTGAAATCTCTTCCCTTTCACAGGCAATTTTAGTTTTGGGAAAAGCCAGAAGTCACAGGGCACCAAATCTGGGCTGTGGAGGGGCTGAGTGACCTGGGTGATTTGATGTTTCACTAAAAACAGACTCTGCATGAAACGTGATGCATGAGTGGGCACTACAATGATGAACCTGCCAACCACCAGTTGCCCATAGGTGCGGCCTTCTGAATCATCTGAATAGTTTCCATGGAAGAATGTTCAATCTTAATGCAATATTGGATGAGGATTCATTATTCTGCTTGCTCAGTCATTTTGAATGTGATGGCCACACAGCACACATGCTCACTTAATGGCATCTACTGCCCCCACTGGCTAGCTAGTATGGTGAAGTTGTCATTGTTCACACATGCACATTCCAGTCCACTCTCCTTGACTGCCAGGTTACATGATCATATTAATAGATTCAGAAAAAGCATTTGACAAAATCCAGCACAAATTTATGACAAAAAAATCAGCAAAGTGGGAATACAGTGAATACCTCAACATAATAGAAACCATAAGTGACAAACCCACAGCTAACATTCTACTCAATGGGGAAAAACTAAAAGTGTTTTCCTTAAGATCAGAAGTAATCTGTGATCAGTGTCTATTCTCACCACTGTTATTCAACATAGTACTGGAAGTCCTAGCCAGAGTAATCAGACAAGAAAAAGAAAAAGTCATTCAAATTGGAAAGGAAGAACTATCATTTTTTGCAGATGACATGATACTGTAATTTAAAGAACCCAAAGGATTCCACCAGAAAACAACTAGAATTGATAAATGAATTCAGTAAAATAGCAAGATACAAAGTAAATATTTCAGAATCCATTTCATGTTTCTACACCAATAATGAAGTATCAGAAAGGGAAACTATGAAAAAAGCAATCCTATTTACAACTGCATAAAAAAAAAAAAGAACAACAAATGTAGGAATAAATTTAACCAAAGAGGAAAAAGACCTGTACTTGGAGAACTATAAGAAATTGAAGAAAGAAATTGAAAAAGATACAAATAAAGGAAAGCATATACCATGCTCATAGATAGTAAGAATTAACATAATTAAAATGTCCATACTACTCAAAACAATCTACAGATTCAACACCATTCCCACCAAAATACCACAGAACCAGAGCAAATAATCCAAAAATGTATGTGGAACCACAAAGACCCTGAATAGTCACAAAAAATCTTGAGAAAGAAGAGCAAAATTGAAGTATGACATTATATAATATCAAACTATACTACAAAGCTATAGTAATCAAACATCATGGCATTGACATAAAAACAGACAATATAGATCAATGGAACAGAACAGAGAGCCCATAAATAAATTCAAGCCTTTAAAATCAATTAATATTTGACAAAGGAGGCAAGACTATTCAATGGGGTAAAGACAACCTATTCAATAGATGATGTTGGGAAAATTGGATAGATACTAGCAAAAAAATGAAATTAGACCATCTTCTTACACTATACACAAGAATAAACTCAAAATGGATAAAAGAATTAAATGTTAGACTTGAAATCATAAAAATACTAGAAGAAAACATGGGCAGTAAAATCTCTGCCATTTCTCACAGCAATATTTTTTTCTAATATATTTCCTCAGGCAAGGGAAACAAAAGAAGAAACAAATAAATGGAACTACATCAAACTAAAAAGTTTTTGTATGGCAAAGGAAACTATCAACAAAACAAAACCACCCCCAAAAACAACCCCTACTGAATAGATAAGATATTTGTCAGTGATCTATCTGATAAGGGGTTAATGTCCAAAATTTATATAAAGAACTTATACAACAGAACACCCAAAAAACCCCAAACGTTCCAAATAAAAATGGGGAAAGGAACTGAATAGACACTTCTCCAAAGAAAACACACAGATGGCCAATAGACATATGAAAAGATGCTCAACATCACTAATCATCAGAGAAATGCAAATTAAAACAACAATGAAAAGATTAAGTGGTACAAATTGTTAGTTGCAAAAAAGCCACAGACATGTAGATTGTACCATGAAGAATATAATCAATAATGTCAGGATAATGGGGTATGTGGCCAGGTGGATGCTTGGGGTAGCAAGGGGACCACTCTAGAGTAACTGTTTTCCGGCCACTTTCCTGTACATCTGAAATTGGTGTGGAATGATATTGAATATAAACTGAGGTTGAAAGTTTAAAAAATAAACAAACAAACCATGATAAGATATTACCTCACATCTGTCAGAATTGCTATCATCAATAAATCCATAAAATCAAGGGTTGGCAAGGATGTGGAGAAGAAAGACCCTTTGTGCATTGTTGGTGGGAGTGCAGTGTGGTGCCCTCACTATGAAAAAGGTTTGGAGGGTCTTCAAAAAAAATTAAAAACAGAACTGCCTTATGACCCAGTTGTATTTGAAGAAACTCAAAACACCAATTTGAAAGAAGATATGAACCCTTGTGTTTGTTTGCTGCATCATTTGCAATAGCCAAGATACGGAAGCGACCCAGATGTCTATTAATAGACAAACTGATAAAAAAAGATGTGGCACATATATACAATGGAATGTCACTTGTCTATAAGAAATAATTAAATCTTACTGTTTGTAAGAGGACAGATGGACCAAGAAGATATTATGCTAAGTGAGATAAGTCAATCAGTGGAAGACGAATAGCATATGATTTCACTTAGATGAGGAGTCTAAAGAACAAAACAAATAAACAAAACAGAAATAAACCTATAGATAAAAAGACAGAATAGTGGTTGCCAGAAAGGAGGAGGGTTGCAGGACTGGATGAAAAAGGTGAAGGGATTAAGAAGTACAAACTGGGCCCTGGCTGGGTGCCTCAGTTGGCTGGAGCATCATCCAAAAGGTTGTGGGTTTGATCAGGGCACATACCTAGATTATGGGTTCCATCCCTGGTTGGGACATGTACAAAAGGCAACTGACCGATGTTTGTCTCTCACATCGATGTTTATCTCACTTTCCCCCTACTTTCTCTCTCTCTAAAAGCAATAAACATACATCCTTGAGTGAGGATTAAAGAAAAAAAAGAAATACAAATGGCATTTACAAAATAGTCACAAGGAGATAAAGTACAGCATAGAGATTATTATAGTCAATAATGTTGTAATAACTATGTATGGTGCCAGGTGGGTACTGGAATATTGAGGGGATTACTTTGTAAAGTATATGATTATCCACACTATGCTGTACACATGAATCTAATACAAAATATCTAATGTAAACTGTAATTGGAAAATAAAATAATAAAAAAACAAGAATTCTCTTCAGTCAGCCTGCCAAAACTTCTTAAACCCTGAACCCTTTGCCCACCAATTCCCCTCTTCCCCTACTCTCTTTTCAACCCTTGACTTCTCACTGCTCCCAAAACTCATCCCCAAATTAAAGCTCAGTGCCTAGAAAGCCCAACCTTGACCCTTCTTACCTGGAATGATGTGCATCTGGGATGGAATGATTCCGGGGCAACTGGTCACTGAGGTGAACATTGTAACCAAACTCTTGGAAGAGGTCGCGGGCCTTTTTCTGCTGGGCCTCAGAAAGATCTTTACCCACTGCTTGAAGAGCAGTGAGCCTGGAAAAAGTTCCTCTCTGGGTTTGTGTTTCTTTGTCTCACTTGCTTTGGCTTCCACTGCCTTTCCAACAGGGTGTTGTTCATATTTCACCCTCTCCAGGGTGTTGTCCACGTTTTGTTGTTCCTTCACAGCCAATTTCATACTTTCTTCTGCAAATGAAAAGCAGGGAAGAAAACATTTCAGCCAATTCATTGATAGGTTTTCTTGTCCAAATTTTAAAATTTATAAGCTCTTGGTTCCAGAGGATGCAATATGTCACAGGAACCAGAGTCGTGCAAGCTGTCCTGGCAGGGCGCACACTAGAACACACCTGTGTTCTTTCAGTTCTATCAGCTCTATCAAGACTTAGCTATCCTGAGTCCCATGCACTCAAAGTTCCTCTAGAGGTGCGATCTGAGAAATACATTGACAATAGCTAATGTTTTGCAGAATAAGGCCCAAGAACCACTTAATCAGAATTAGCTGTTGGATCATTTAAAATGCAGATATTCAGGCTTATCCCTGAATCAACTAAATCAGAATCTTAGGATCAGATAGGGGTAGGGGAAGATGCCAGAATCTGCACTTCTAACAAAATCAAAGAGTAAGTCTTTGGTACAATAAAATTTGAGAAGCATTGTACTACACTATCACTGGTTACCCCTTCCTAACTGCATGACCTTGGCCACGGTATTTCTCTTTTCGGTGCCATAGATTTACCAAGTACCTCAGAGAGTTGCTGTGAGAACTATATGGATTGACACCTATGAAGTGCTTATGACAGTGCCTGGCACACAATCGAGCTTGGATATTATTCTATTTTCTCTGGTTTCTCTGTTTCCTCTGCTTACGGGGTGGGAGGTGAGGGAGGATATTGAGAAGAGTGGAAAACTTAAAACTGTTATGATAGAAATGGGAATGAGAAGTGGTTTATGACACACAGAAGCACTGAGGATCTAGGAAAGGACTGGCTGAGGCGTGACCATGAATTTGAAGTGGCTCAGTTATGGGAATTTTTCCAGCAGTGCTCAGCCCTTGGGTGAAGGCACAGAGAAGATGAGCAATTGGTTTCACACGATGTTGGGAGGTTCTTAGGAGAGTACAAGAGAACAGGTGTGCAATAGAGTTGCAGATCACGGCAAGAGAAAAGCTGGAGAAATGTTACTGTTGCCCAGAAAACTGAATGAGTATGCTGCAGAGTCAGTAGGTTGTGATCAGCAAAGCACAGCATGAATTCGTCATTTCACAGGTGAGCTGTTCTGGATGATGACAAAGTCCAAAATACACCCTAGAAGTGTGAAGTGGGATGGACATAATGGACTGTGTAGGTGGGAAGGCAGAAGTGTTCAATGGGTCACCCACAGGACACTGCAGTGGCCTACTGTCACTGCAGGATTGAGGGCAGGGACAAGTGCTGTGAACCAGGAGCCACAGCAAAGTCTATAATGAGTGAGAAAGCTCGTCAGACAGGTCATCAGAAGAAACCTTAGAGGGCAGCCAGGTTTACATAATAAAGTAAAGAGCTATTACCACAGCTGTCTGACTCTCTTCTTTTTGCAATGGCAACCAAACCTACAGCCCGTTAATATTTCCCAAGCCCAACATCGATTATGACACTCATCAGCATTAAATCCCAAAATGGTAAGCAAGATGCTCCACCACTTAGTTCCCCGGTAATTGTCCCTTAAGCCTACACTAAATCACAGCCAGACTGATAGGATCACCTTTAGGCCATGTAGTACATTCTTGCAAGTTAAAAGAATCACCCCTTTGTTGGATAATTGCAGTGCAGGCCCACTAGATTGGCCAGCAGACAGTTTAATCATGTGAATTTCCTCTGGGCAGATACAGCCCCAGCCACAGCACGTGACTGTGTGAGCAGATCATGGGCTAAATTTCAGCTACGTATACAGCCCCTTAAAAGGAAGCAGGAAAGTCCTGCAACTGGGATGAGGGCATGTCTGGAAGGTGGCATAAAGCTGGCCCAAGGAGAAGGAGAATCAATTAGAACTGCTTAAGGCCAAAAAAAAGGAGAATCAAAGCAAACTCAGAAAGAAAACTTAATGGTGGGTCTTTCAAAGAAGGCTCATGTGACTACCTTGCATATTTGCTCTGGTAGAAAATAAAAGTGACAGCAGAATTTTTAAAATATTCCAAATTGAATAGCATTTTTATTTAGACTCTTCTGTACTAAGCATACAGGGGTCACAGGGTAGCCTTGAGTTCTCTGTTCCTTTAAATTCCCCTATGTTCTTTGGGGGACATCTGATTTTTCTCTTTTATTCATTGCTGTCAGTGGGAGACTGTTTGGACCTGCACACCCTGGAGTCAATTTGAGGATGTAAGTGCTGAGTTCAGCAGGTTGAATACAGTGTTCCTACACCATCCCTATGACTTACACTGAAACTTTCCAGGACCCAAAGGGGACACATCAAATGTCATCATTCTGGTGGGGCTTTAAGATTCCCTGGGGAGACTCCAGAAAATTGGTCAGCAAATCCTCTCACAATAGGGATATCATCACCACCATATCTTTGCTTTTGTTCTCTGTGACAGTTTACATAATTTGTGTAAACATCTTTATTGACCTATAATGTCCTCTAGCCTTCTTGGAGGCAATGAGCAACCAGGATAATTCATAACTGAACAGCTTTCAACTTCAGGAAGCCCTTCAGAAAAGGAGCACATTTGTGATCTGGAACAGGGTCCAGAAGACATTTTGAAATTCATATCAGGTGGTAAGGAGTCCCTGACACCACATCATTTTAAAGTGAATAAAACATGGGGAGCATCAAAAATAATAAGAAAAGCAGGAACTGGTCATTGCAGGAGGAAAGGGAGTCCACCCGATGGCTCCAGGTGACTTGCTGAAGCATACTGGTTTCCAGCGGAAGGAACAGAGAGCCAGGCTGCAGGCAGAACTCCTGCTAGTTTAAAGCCTGAGGTGGATGAGCCCTGGGGTTGGGTGTGGTCTGGGAACTCTACCAAGGAGTGACAGTGACCTCTCGGGTACACAGGCATCCTCCTGGTGAAGCTACACTGAGCATATACGCAAGCGAATGTCCAACTCAGCCTATGTGCTCAAAGCCAGGGCTTCAGAGCGGACAGCCATCTTTGTTTTTGCCCTGTATCACTCACCCCTCCACCCCAGCTGCCTGTCCTCTGTCCTCTTTTTCCTACACTCATCCATGCATTTACTCAACCACTTAATTTCTATGTGCCTGACACAGGGGATAAAGTGGTAAGAAACTCTATGAGACATTCATGAAATCAGCTCTTCCAGAAAATTGTACCACAATAAAATATGATGAGTCCTATGAGGGAGGATGTGGAAGGTGCTGTGGTGCTTTCTGATTCCTTCTGTGTGCTCCTTCCCATCATGTTCCCTTTTCTCTTCTTGTCTCCATATAAATTCTTTCATTCTCTTGCCCTGGACACTTACTTTTAGCTCCCTTTTTTGTCCTTATCTCTTTGGTCCTCTATTGTCCCCTTTTTCTCTCTTCCTTTTCCTGATTTCCTCTCTTCCTTTTTCTCTTCCTGTCTGTCCTCTCATCTATCCCTCTGCCTCACTCTGAATGTGGACAATGCTCAGATCTCACTTTAAAAGACTCTTTCTTCAGCTCCAGCTCCCACACACCCACACCCACACATTTATGCAGTCACTTCCCTGCTCACACATTCAAGTCCCTTTAGGGGCACAAGCATTCAAGCCCTGTCACTTGGGATCAGGGAATGCATGGCTGCTTCCCCTCACTGGAGTCAGATTTTGACATACATAAAATTCATAGGGGTCAGAGCCAGAATTGAAAACAGGCCCCAGAATTCATGTGAAGAAGTTTACATTTGGTGGACCATGAGGGCATTATGTTAACTGAAATAAGTCAGTCAGAGAAAAGACAAATTTTACTCATATTAGGAATCTAATGAACAAACTGAAGGAACAGGGGAAATGGAGACAGACTCATATGTGGAGAGCAGGATGACAGCTAGTGGCGGTGAAGGTTGGGTATCAAGGGATTGAGCAAAAAGGAGAAAGGACTCATGGACATGGACAACAGTGTGGTGATTGCTGGGGGGCAGGGCCATATGGGGACTAAACCGTAATGGAAAATAATAAAATAAAGATTAAATAAAAAATAAAACAAAACAACATAAAAATGGGAGGGGGAAATAAGCACATAGATATAGAGAACAGATTGGTGGTTGCCACAGGTGGGGATGGGGGAGGTAGGCAAAATGGGTGAGAGGGGTCTGAAGGTATAAACTTCCATTTATGAAGTAAATAAGCCCTGGGGATGTAATGTATGGCATGGTGACTATGTTTAATAATTTAATTTCAAATATGCAATTCCGTATTGTATATTTGAAGTTACTGAGAGAGTAGATCTTAAAGGTTCTCATCATGAGGAAAAAGGTATTTATGATTATGTGTACTGTGATCATTTCACAGTAATATTTCACAAATATTGAATCATTACACTGTACACCTAAAACTAATATAATGTTATGTGACAATTACACCCCAATAAAAAAAGAAGTTAAAATTTGACACACATATGTTTATAGAGCACTTTCTGCATACATTTCACAACTGTGTGAGATCAAGTAGGTAGTCTCGTCGTTACCACTTACACACCAGGAACCTGCAACTGAGAGAGATATGCACTTGCTTCAAGTCACACCATCATCGTGGCCATGTCAGGATTCCATCCAGGTTCTCTGACTAGCTCCCAGTAGTCCCTGATTGCAGCTCACAGCAAAGTGGAAGTGAGGCCTTTGCCCCAGAGATCGGCATGTCTATTTACCTGCCCTGCCACACAAAGACCTAAGAATAGGGCTGTGCCTGGATATTCCTGGGCCGCTTGGGGGGCGTTCGTCTGAGCCTCAGACTCCCTGGCTGCATGTGTGTGCTTGTGATTGTGAGTGTGTGCAAGTGTACACACACACCACTCAATGTACCCTGCTCTTCTCCCCTTAACAGTTTCCTGATTCCCCCTAATTCTCAATACTTACCACCATTTGGAAGCATAGAATTCAATGTCAGATACTAAACTGAGCAACTGAGAGGTGAAAATGTGGCCTCTCACTTACTTTTTCTCCACACTCCTTTTTTTCTAAGTGTCCTTAAGCATGCACTCATGCACACACACACACACACACACACACAATCCCCTCCAAGTTAGTGTTGTGAACTTACTCAGATACTGCAAATCCAACTTCAAATGAGAGTCTCTTTATCACGATCCCATCCCAATCAGACACAGGCAAATAAAGCTCCTTTTGGGCACTAACCAGAATCAACTTTTGTAAAGTCGATTATTAAATAAATAAATAAATACCATTTTATAAAAAACACTATTTTATAAAATACCAGGAGGAGATGGTAGGCAATAACCAGAGTAAGCCCAATGCAGACAACTTTGCAGACATGTCTCCTGAGCATCATACTCTGTCTCTGGCTCTGCCACACCTGCAGGGCTGGGTGTGTCACTGCTCAGGCAAACTAAAGATCAGAATCAATGGAGCCCCGTCTCTGCTGGATGCATAGATGACACCCTGCCTGCTGAACCAGATGTTCTCCAACTGGGAAAGCTGCTACAAGCTGCCTGGCTTCTCCCTGAGCAGTATCAGGTGTGTGGAGTATATGATAGCAGCCATCCAGTGACTGGCAGGCTACCTGGGCACACCTCACACTGTGTCAGAAGTCAAGCTCAACAAACTTGAGGAGAGACTTTTTTGCTGGTTCCACCAGGAAGCAGGTAGATGAGCTGAAGGTGGCCCCAGAGGCGAGCCCAAGGGGATGGCCTACTTCACCGATCCCTGCCCTCTGCTGTCACCCGCACAGCGCTGCACACCGAGGCTCTACACTGATCCAGCTTCCACACCTCACACTCACTGTGTTTTGGATAAATCATCTAATTGTCATCATCGTGGATTAAACACTTGAAATTTTTCCCAGACCAGAAAGTTTAAGGTTCTCAGTCAAATGTTGGGTCCTTCTGTAATCATATTTCACACCCTGTCCCAGATTCTGGAACTCTTTAGTAGGTTCCCAAATACAACATATGCTGACAGGAGCTGAGGCAGATATTTAGATTAAAATAAAGAAAAAGCAGGTAGAACATTAAATAAATATATAAATAACATTTTTCATCAGTCTTTCCCATGCCCTTGCCTACAAATTAGAGTCAAAATACATTTAAAAATGCATAATCACCTTTGTCTCATTCAAAAAGGAGTAGACCACTTATCTCTATTCCTCCCCACTAGGGGCAAATATAGACTCTAGACACTACACATAAAACAAACAAAAGAAGACTCTGAAAGGCGGAGAAAAAAGGGCAGACCAGCTAGAGATCCAGGAGCCAAGGACAACACAGCAATGAGTTTCTTGGGTTTTCTTTTTGCCTATATATCCTAGATTGAATGTTAAATAGGTTGCCAAACTGTAAACACCAACAAGTAAAGACAATAAAAGCCCCCAAGAAAATCCTGTTCTCTCTAGACAAAGGAGCAGGAAAGGGACAGCCTAGCACGGTGGAAAACATTAAGAACTGTTTACTCCAGCCAAACACCACTGAAAAATCTGTTGTACCAACTCCATCCCATCAACAAAGGCCATGTGAGGAATTTTGACTTCCATCCTCACCCCCAGCTATGATGAGGTGCCTCTTCCTTCACCCTCTTTCTCTAGGATGGGGACCTATGGGAAATTACAATTTTTATCCTTTCCCCCATGATTTCCAGTAAGGAAATCATAATGAAGTGGCCCTCCTTCTCTCAGCCAGTTGGTGTCAACAGAGGCCTAGTGAAGAATCTGAATTTCCTTCCCCACCAGCAGTAAAGGTACCCTTATCTCAGGTATCAATGGAGACAAAGTGGGACGCCTGGACTTCCATAAGGTCTAACTTACAGCTACTGCTCCAGAGCTAAGGGCATAACAGAGACATTAGAGGTCACACAGTCTTTGGGAACACAGGAGTTTGGCTTAGTCATAATGGAGAGATCTATACCAAGCACCCTGGGTATTCTGCTAAGACACAAGGAAAACCACTACTTAAGGGTAACAACCATGCCTTAGGAACAGGGCTACTCTAAGCCTGCTCTAACAAAGCCTAAAAGCAAGTCTCAACCACATCCAAATGAGTTGCCAGTATGTTAATAACCGGAACAAAACACTCTTAAAACAAAGACAACATAAACCAGATGCTTTACAAGGATTCAGTCACAATGTCAATGATACAATCGCAAATTACTGGACATCTGAAGAGGCAGAAAAATGTGACAGATAAAAAAAAGTCACTAGACCAGAAGATGACCCAGGTGTGGTAATTAAACAACTTTAAAATGTCTATCATAAAAACATCCAAAGATTTAAAGAAAAAGATGGACATAATGAGTGCAGAGAGGGAGAATTCTCAAGGAAAAAGTAGAAACTCTAAAATTAAAGAAGCAAAGGGAATTCTGAAACTGAAATTTTTGATATGTAAAATTAAAGTTTCACAGGATAGATCTAGCAGCAGATTGGCAACTTTAGATTAAAAAAAGGCTTTGAATTTGAAGATATACCAATAGAAACTATCCAATATGAAGAAAATAAGGAAGAAAATTATTTTTAAAAATAGACTCAGTGATTTGTGAGACAATATCAAGTGGTTTATTGTAATTGGAGTTACAGAAGGACAGCAGATGAAGAATGAGGCAGAAAAAATATATAAAAATTAATGAGGAAAATTTGCCAAATTTAGCTTAAACTAATCAACCTATAAATATAAGCAGCTCTTTAGCAGAAGTTTTTATTTTTTTAAATTTTAATGTAGTTTTTTCTATTACCGTTTAGTCCCCTTATACCCCCTCCCTCCATAATTGCTGCACTGTTGTCCATGTGTCCTTTTTCCTTTTTGCTCAATCCCTTCACCTACTAAATGCCTCCCCTTAGCTGTCAAAAACACATATAGGTACATAGGAATAAAACTGCTGGGGAAAAATCTTAAAGGCCACTCTAGAAGCAATAATATGAATAGTATGCAGGCTAGAAGACAATGGAATAGCATCTTAAAAACTAAGGAGTGGGGGAGTCCACCTAGTATCTTATATCAAACTAAAATATCCCCAAAGAAATAATGACATTTTCAGATACATGAAAACTGAATCAGTACATTTGCACTATAATAAACACTGAAGAAAATTCTTCAGACTGAAAGAAAATATCACTAAAAGGAGTCTCTAATCTATGGAAAGGAATGAGAAGCACTAGGAAGAATAAATAACATGCCTCAATACAAGAAATTGTATCTTTTTTCTTCTTTTAATGACCTCGAAAGACAAATGATTGGTCAGAGTAGATACAGTGACATTGTAAGATGGAATCATAATGTATGTAGAAATTAAATATGTGACAATAGCATAAAGAAAGGGGAGGTAATGAAATTACATTGATATGAGGCTCCAACATTTTGAAACATTAAGTATAAAATTATAATATATTAACTCTAGGTAGGACTATGATAAGGACACATTTTATTATCACTAGAGCAACCAAAAGAACATAGCAAAAGTGTGTATCTGAAAAGATAATAGGGAAATTAAAAAAATAACAACAAAAAAGAATATTTGGTAAACAAAAAAATATAGGGGAAAGGATAACTGAGAAACAAAAAGAACCCAAATGAGATAAATAGAAAACAAATCACAGATGGTGTTGAGAGAGCTGGACAGCTACATGCAAAAAAATGAAACTCAAGCACCAACTTACACCATACACAAAAATAAATTCAAGGTGGATAAAATATTTAAATATAAGCCTTGACACCATTGAAGTCCTACAGGAGAATGTAGGCAGGAAAATCTCAGATATTTCACACAGCAACATTTTCAAGGATATGTCCCTTACAGCAAGGGACACAAAGGAAAGAATAAACAAATGGGATCTCATCAAAACAAAAAGCTTCTGCGTGGCTAAAGATAATGGTATTAGAATAAAGAGACCCAACCATATGGGAAAACATATTTGCCAATGACACCTCAGACAAGGGTTTAATCTCCAAAATATATAAAAAACTCCTACGACTCCACTCTAAGAAAGCAAGCAACCCAATTAAAAAATGGGCAACAGACTTGAACAGACACTTCCCCAAGGAGGACATACAGAGGATCCAGAGACACATGAAAAGATGCTCAGTATCGCTAGCTATCAGAAAGATGCAAATTAAAACCACAATGAGATACCATCTCACACCTGTCAGGATGGCTATCATCAATAAATCAACAAGTGCTGGCCAGGATGTGGAGAAAGGGGAACACTTTTGCACAGCTGGTGGAAATACAAACTAGTGCAGCCACTATGGAAAGCATTATGGAGATACCTCAAATATTAAAAATGAATCTGCCTTTTGACCAAGTAATCCCACTTCTGGGAATATATCTAAAGGAACCCAGAACACTAATTTAAAAGAACATGAACACCTCTATGTTCATTGCAGCATTATTTACAATCATGAAGATATGGAAGCAGCCAAAGTGTTCATCAAAGGACAAGTTGCTTTATCTCAGCCATAAAAAATTTTACCTTTTGCAATGGTACAGATGGACCTGGAGAACATTGTGCTAAGTGAAACAAATCAGTCAGAGGACAAATACCATATGATTTCATTCATATGTGGAATCTAATGAACAAACTGAACTAACCAGCAAAACAGAGATGGACTCAGATGGAGATCAGGTGACAGCTAGTGTGGGGGGGAGGTTGGGGTGGAGGGACTCAGCAAATACAAAAAGGACTCCTGGATATGGACAACAGTGTGGTGATTGCTGGGGCAGGGGTATAGGCGTATTAGGAGACTAAAATGGTAATGGAAAAAATACAATAAAGATTAAAGATTAAAAATAAAAACATTTCTTCAGTTGTCATTAAAAAATAAAATCATTTGTTATGCAAGGTTCTTTGGAAATCCAACCATCTCACTCTCTTAAACAATCTTCTTCCAACTGACTTTTCTTGTGAAGCCGACGTCACACAGCTTGCTCTAGCTTCACACAGAACTATAAAGCCTGACCACCCTTTCCTTTCCTTTTCCACTTCCCACTGTTCCTGGTTGTAGGGAAAACAGTGCTGGACAGAAGATGTGTCTGGTACTGCGGCTGCCACTGACTTTCTGGCACCTGGCCTTTTTGTGGCTGTGTGAAAAAGAGGAGAGTCTACTTCACAGGGGTGTGCTGAGGAGTAGCAAACCGGTGAGGGAGCCCTGGGCCTACCACAGGGCAGCATGTGGTCCTCCTTGGATCTCAGGTTCTTTCTGCTGCTTCCTGGTCCAATAAGGTGGCCACTTGCCTGGATCAGGCCACCAACAAGTTTCCTTGGGCATACAGAATTTTTTTTTCTTTAAAAAAAATTTAGTGGTCAATATTTAAAAATAAATAGGTTTCACACCATTTTGAAAACTAGATTTCAGCTTCATTTGAACAACTGGGGATCTGGCAACAGTGACCATCGGGGAATAAACGTCTGGAGGGAGCAGGAGGGTTGCCCGGCACCCCAGGGCCTTTGTTACAGTCTAACGCTGAAGCAGAAGGAACAAGCACAACTCTCATAACAGCTAGAAAGTGAACATGTGTTAAAGACTGTTTAATTCATTGATGAGCAAAGTGGTGAGGTTCAAGAGAGAATCCAGCCATCAGGAACATTGAAATAAATGTGTCATTGAGGGGAAACTTAGAAAGTTCAGCTGAACCTCTGTGGACAGAACGGAAGTGTCCATAGACACCATGACTTTGCATTACAGGGCTGTGAATTAGCTCCCATAGAGTCAGAATCAGGGAGCCCAGACATTGTCTGGTCAGTCTAGACTCCAGACAACACAGTTTTCCACTAAAGTACGAATTTCCCCTGCACTTCTATTTCCGGTCATACAGTTTATGGACTGCCTGGCCCAGAAGTGTTTGTTCACCCAGATCCCAGAGATGTCATTTCTCTAGTTTTTATTCAGTGTCTTCAGCGATGACATGTAGAGACTGGACTAAGGAATCTGTACATTCCCTTACAACTTCTTAATTTGAATTTCTTTAGTGCTGCTTCCATCCAACATCCCCTCCCCTCCACACACACACACATCACCTCCATAAATTATTTATTCCTGTTCAGCCCAGCAGGCCCTTATTGGTGAGATTAGCTACTTTAATTTGTACTGAGGTGTTAATGGGTTATGTTTTATTAATATGATACTTTATCCTCTGCAACCTCTACTTTTACAGCTTCAGTTATCATCCCAAACCATCATCACTTTCATGAAAACACTTCACAGAATCCAGTTTAAACATGTTGCCAAGAAGGGTCAAACACCCATCAGTGAAGACCCTCACCCTTTTCCTCAATCCCCACCCACACTTGGCCGAGTTCCAGAGACAGGACGACCTCTGTTGGTAAACTGGGGATGAAGACAAGTGAAGGCTGGGGAAAGTAACCAGTCCCTCAGTTTTCCTGCAGCCTACCAGTTAGGGTTGTCATTACTGCACAAGAGTGGATACCCTAGTGACCAAACTGACCTATTCTAACGAGATTTTATTACAAAACTGAAACTGTTGTTACCTGAACAAGACTGAAACAACGTGGACTCAAGGGGAGTTTTCACCCAAGAGTAAGGAATCCCTACCGCATCCATCCATCCATCCATTAAGTGCCAAGTAGGTACGTAGCCCTCTTTTAAGTGTTGAGGTATAGCAGTAAATATGACAAGAAAAATTCTTTCATATGGTTTACTTTCTAGTAATTACATAAAAGTTGAGACAAAAAATAAAGTTGCATTTCCAATACATAGCAAATGTTTTTTCAAATGCATATATGAAATAATGTATAGTAATATGTCATATATTACTATTTCAGATTACTATTACTATATTACTATAGTACTATATTACTATTTCAGATATGATATCATATTACTATCAACCCAGACTAGCCTGGTGTTTGAGGCTCATCCCCCATCTGTGTTCTGAATTCTTTCCCTTCCACTGTCCTCCAGGACCAGGCAGCACAATGCCGGCACCACCCCAGGGCTCATCAGGTTTCTGAAACCTTTGCATCCCCTGACCAAGAGGGGGGTCATTCCTTACTGTTCCAGCAGCCGACTCAACTTCAGACAGGCTTCTTCCTAACTTTAGGCCTCTGACCTCCCTAAGAGCATTTTCTTTAGAAACTTGTAATTCTCTGCTCCTTAGAGATGGACATAAATCTTTTAAAAAACCTCTTGCCAGCTTTATAACCCAGGAATGTCTTTCTCAAGGACCTGAGAGCCATTCCTTTGACATGAAATTATCAGAGAGGCAGCACCCGCATCTCCCTCTCCTGCAGGAGGCAGGAACCTAACTTCAGTGGATGGTGGGCACCTGCTCCAATCTGCAGGACTACCTCCTGTCATACAGGTAAGGGTGGTTCACTGTTCCTCTGGATAAAGCCAGTTAGCAAATATAAATGGCCTAAAACTTCCTTGCATCCCAGCTCTCACAGAATCCAGAGGGCTAATGTCCTCCACCACTTTCCCCCCAGCTCACTCCAGGCCCTGAGAACCCACCACTGCTCAGCACAGCTGAGCTCAGACTTTGTTCTGGCCTTTAATTGTAATAGTACTTTCCCTCCCTTACAATAATCCTTGCAGATAAATGTCTCACCTTACTAAGTCTGAACATGTTTGGATTTTGTTTTTACACCCTTCAGCCCTGCTCTTGCTCTCATTCTCTCAGGCCTTTCCCTTCACCAGAAAGTTTTCTTCAAATATGCCTTCCCTTCCCATTCATTCCATCACCTTCCACTATGTAAGTCTAATCGTGTACATCTTTCTCCTGAGCACCCTGAAATCCCTGGAACAGGGCATGGTTTGGAGCCAGACAGACCCAGGCCGAAAAGCAGCTCAGCCATGTGCTAATGGGGTTGTTTACCTTCTATAAGCCCTCTTCCATCATTTAAAAAATAGGGATCACCCCTCCCTCAAAAAAGACAGCTATCACTTTAAGTCAGGAAAGAAATGCATGGACTCAGTCATGGTGTTTCCTACTTAAATGATAACATCTTAGTACCTACTATATGCTGGGCTCAGCATTTCAGAAGCTTTATCGCATTTAATTCCTCATCATAATGCTATGATGTGGGTATTTGAGGGTACTATCATCATCATCTCCCTTTTACAGACAAGGAAATTGAGGCTGAGGAGAGGTTAGGTGATTTTGTCCAAATCTCACAGCTAAGAAGTGGTGGCATTCCCCAAGCCTGTACAGAGCTTAGCAGCTAAACCACTCTGCATCACCTAAGATAAAGGTTAAACTCCTCACTGCTCTCTCCTGACACACTGACTGCCCCCCACAAACATCTACTCTCTCTCAAGCCCCAGTGCATTTGCTCATGCTCTTCTCTTCACACCAACTGCTTCTTTCTCACCCCAACACACACACACTCATGCACACTCCCACATTTCGCCTGGTTATCCTCAAGGCAGCTTTACAAATCCATTTTCTATGGAGTTTTCCCTAACCATTCTGAGATAGCCTCTTCCTCCTGCGCTCAGTGCTCTAACGTATACCTCCATATGTGCTTCCTTTAGAGAACTTACATGTATCATTAGGATAAAGTTGGAGGTGACTACAGAGTCAAGCAAAGCTGAATATACAAGGAGGACCCAGGAAAAAAGGATTTAGAATTTAGAGTAGGGTCAGAAGGTAAATAGATTTGTTGAATTACAGAGGTGTAATGATAAATGTAGGTAAATTATAAATGACAATGTTATGATAAACAGTGGGGTTTATAGTCTTGCAAGCCGAAATCAGCTTCGACGATCAGATAAAGAGCAACCTGAGTCCAGAGGGCAGGGCTATCAGTGTACCTCCCACAGGGCAGGGTTTGAAGTCCCCACAGGAAAAGCCACTAAATGGACACTCAACTCATTCCTTTTTATTGTAACAAGAATCACCCTGGATGCGGGTACCCAGATCTTGTACCCAGGGTACAGTTCCTGGTCACACGCAATCTCCACACATTAAGAAGAGAATTCAAAACATTTGGGATCATACAATTGTTTCCTTAGTTGTTGGTAAAGGTCTTCAGCCTCTAAAAGACTTAAAATTAAATATACAAAATGAAGTTAATTCAAACCTTAATATTTTATATTAAATGTGTGCATAGTTGGTACTAAATAATTCCTTAAAAGACAGAAAACCTGAAGATTGTGGAGAGAAGAACAGAATGATGGAGAAGCAAGCACCTGACCTCATTCAGAAGGACCAGAGGACCAGGAAGAGTGCCTCTGGCTTCAGGACGTACTTGGTCTCCGCCCACAGACACTTCCTCCCTGCTCGGCTGGCCACTGTGGCGTTTTGATTCGGAGCTTAAGTATCACGCCAGGTAACTCAGATTAAACTAAACAGGATTCCTCAGGAGCCAAAGAAAATTAAAGGGAAACCTTTGGCACTGGTCTAAGGAAGAAGTATGAAAGGACAAGCAAAGGACCGCAGGGGGACAGCGACCTCAGGTAGCTCAGACCCGAGCAGAGGACTACGGAATTACTGCACCGAGTTTGAGACTCTGTCTACAATGTTGCATACCTATGTGCTGTTTTAAAAGTATATGTAAATGTCATTAAGATAAATTTTTAAAAATAAATTCAGATTAGCTATGGAACATTACATATTTTCTCAATTAGTGAATAGTAAAGACAATTACATATCACTTGTGGTTGTCACATTATTTTGACATTAAAAAGAGGTTCTTATTAAAGAAGTAGCCTGACAGAGGGAAATTCAAATCCTTCAGCATTTCAAAGGATATATGATATATATATATAGCATTATTAAATATATATTTTTAAATGAAAATTATGATCCAATTCTAATTAGCTGAATTTATCACTTAATAAATCAAGAAAGAAAATGCTGTTGCAGAATATAACCTCAGATGTTTTAATAGAGAAATCTTATTCACTATTTACAGGATTCTCTGATGAAAGTGGCCTGGGGGCTAGCCAGGTGACCCAAATGACACCAAGCAGACAAGGGCAGCACAGGGGCCACTAAATGTTGACAGTCTTGGCTGGCTTCACATCTTCAATTTCAGAAGAGAGCCAGCGGTAAGTGCGATGACGTCGCAGCACCTCGATGGCCTTCATTTCCAGTGGTGTGGTCTGAATACCAAGGTCTTCTAAGCCGGGCAGGTAAGGCAATGTCATGTCGGAGATGTGAACCTTTGAACAAACAAAGAACCACAGAGAGCGCTGAAAACTGGCCAGGAACACCAAGTGCTATGCTAGCAAGCACTTAACACTCAAATTGGCCTGAGTCCCATTACTGAGACTTCACTGTTTTCAAAGTGAACGTGGCAGTGTTGGATTCCTGAAACTCACTAAAAGTAGACCACAGGAAAAGGGTTTAAGGAAAAAAGGGCAAGGTCACCAAATACCAGCTCAAAGTCCCCAGCACTATCCATGAGCATAGAACACAGGCTCTCGGTGAGGCGTTCTACAGATTTAGACAAAAATAAATCTAAATCAAGAGGCACAAGTCATCAAATTTGTCAGTGGTGACTTTATAGGAGGGTTTAAGAGTAAAACAGGACTAAAAGACCATGTATTTTGTGTCTTTACTCTGAGCACAGGCTTTCTGCCTCAGTTTTAACTACCAAATTAAAGAAATAATTAACATTTGTCCTTGCTCATTAAGGGATAATCCATATTAACCTTTGTGCTCCAGCTAAACCAACCTGCTGACTAATGTTCAGTACAGATCTACACAAATCGAAACCCATCTCATTTGTAGGAAAGGAGAATCAACTATGAGACTTCCAAAGGTCTCCATCCCCCCACCTGACAGTCTGCGATTCTTTTACCAGTGCCATAAAGCAGCCTCCACACCAAAGCTAAGACCCACTCTGCCTACTGCAGCACCACTTTTCCAATCACAAATGCAAGAGGCATATCAGTGTGAAAAGACAATGAGGTGTTCTGACCAGCACCTCTTGCCCAATCTTTCGTGAACATGGAAGGGACACCTTGAAAACGGTGTTCGCTTTCCAGCCCATCAGAGGCGAGGACAGTGACTGCCCATGCATGTGTGTTCCCTAAGGACTACTGTGCACCTCCTCCACAATTCAGCTTTTAGGTTACATTCAGAGGGCAATTTGGCTGTTTCTTATTGATAAAAAGTCAGTAGGTCTTCAAAGGTAGAGATTGTACATTATTTTTGTTTTATTTTGAGTCCTCCCCAGAAACACTTTTACAGCACTGGACAATGGTCAATGGGTTGGACTAGGACGGGAGACAGCAAGGACAGGGGCAGAGCCACGGAGTCCCGTACACTGTGGAGAGGCTAGAGGGGCGGCAAGAGACTGGTCAAGAGAGTAAGAAAGGGAGAAGTTACCCACTTGGATTAAAGTAGATGCAGTAGAGACAATTATTTTCTTTACCTTTCTGTAGGTTGAAAAATTTCAATACTATTATAAGTATTTTCATAATCAAAAGCTGAATGAAAAGGTAGAAAAGGGTAGAAGTTGTAAGATCTGGCATATATCTTGAGGACTGCCAGAACCATACTTGCTGATGGTCTCAAGCTGTGCTGTCTGATACAGTAGCCATTGGCCAGTTTCAAGTTTAAATTAATTAAAATTAAATATAACTCAAATCTTATTTCTAGAGTCACACAAGCCACATTTCAACTATTCAACAGTGACATGTTGCCAGTGGTTACATCTTAGACATTGCACACTATAAAACGTTTCCATCACTACAGAAAGTGCTGTTGGAGAGCTCTCACTTAGATCTAGATGGACAGGGAAGGGAGAAATCAAGGGGGATTCCTACCCTCTTGACAGAGCTAATAGTGATACTGTTATCGTGATGAGAAAGGTGGAACTGCAATTCTGTTTATGGACACGTTCTATTTCAGATGACTATAACATTATCTGAACTGATCAGAGTCTGCTGCAGGGTTAGCGGGCAGTTCAGGGCTGAAGACACAACTGTAGCTATGAGTTACAGCCTGCAGCTGGAACATGGAACTAGGTGAGGGTCACTTAGAGAATGAGAAAAGATACCAAAAGGCTGAGGAGAGAGCCCTTGGACTCCCCCAACATTTACAGATCGGAAAGAGGGCAAACCAGGAAGGCAGACCAAAAAGCGTGGCCTAATGAGAATAGGAAGAACAAAATACTGTGGAGCTGGCCAGGAAAGAGATGGAAATTCAGGCTTTCAAGGAGAGAGCACTTCATACTATTGGATTTGGCAGAATAGAGATTGCAGGAGACCTTGAAAAGAGCAGTTTTAGGGGCAAAATGGAAATAAAAGCCTGATTGGAATGGGTTAAAGAAAAAGTGAGGTAAGAAACCATCAACAGCAGGTACAGACAGCCCTTCTGAGGAGTTTTGATGCAGTGGGACAAACAAGGTAGGAAGGGAGGAATATGCCTTAAAAAAAAAAAAAAGCAGAGCTCAACTACTCAAGATGGTGATGTAGGTAAATGTGGTACTTGCCTCCTCCCACAACCACATCAAAATTACAAGTGAACTGAAGAACCACCATCATTCAGAAGTGCCTGAAATCTGGTTGAATGCAAGTCCCACAACTAGGGGTTTAAAGACAAAGCCATATCAAGACTGGTAGGAGAGGTGGAGATGAGGATCAGTCTGAGATCAGTCCCATACTCGTGTGTGGCAGATAAAACCGGGAGAGATACCTCTGCTATGGAGGCCCCCCATGAAGAACAAGGGGTTCCAGCCCCCTACTAGTTCCCCCAGCCCCACCCAGGGTTCCAGTGCCAGGAGAGAAGCTCCATAACTTCTGGCTGTGACAACCAGCAGGGACTGGGGTTGAGGGAGATGAAGGGCTTCTGGAGTCCCAGGCAATTCCTCTTAAAGGGCTTGTGCACAGACTTAATCACTCATTCCCTCTCAGCTGCATCACAGAGGCAGTAGCTTCAAAGTCACCAGAGACATACAGGGAGGAACTGAATTATCTAATATCAGGATGAGAGCTTGGGGAGGGCAGCTGGTAGAGGCCATTGTTCCTTTACTGAGCCCTCCCCAACAGAGCAACAGAGGTGGCAGGCAGGTGCTCTACCTGAGACTCCATCAACCTGGTTCACACTGTTTGCATCACCCTGGTGATTCCCTGAGGTCCCTCCCCCACCCAACTTCCAGGCCCACCCAAGATGTGTCCAGTGGCTCTTCCATACAAATGGCCTGTCTTGGCTCATGTCTCCCACTTCCCTAAAATCTCTCAAACAAGCAGCATCTGGCCTCACTGTGCTAAATGGCTCCAGGCCTGGCACTAGCATAGCCAGGCCTGGTTTGCAGCTTAGCCTTACCTGGGCACCTCTAAGCCCAGAGCAAGTGGCAGCCATCTGCAGATCACTTTTTAGCTCATGCTGGTGGCCCCAGACAAAACACAGGCAGTGGGTGATGTTAGCCTGCACCTCACAGGAGACCCCTGAAACAGCACACCCAGTGGACAGCTTCAGACCAAGTCAAAGCATCACAACCCAACCACTTCCACAAGTGATACACTCAAGGGGTAGACTTAGCAGGCACCAGAGCCCCACTAAAGTAAGTCCTGCTCTGTGGGGTGGGCCCCTGCACAGCTGATCCTCCACGGTGGTTGGTGGTCATAGCCAGTCCTTGCAGTTGATTGGCCTGGGGTAAATCCTTCCCACTGATGTCCAACAGCAATTAAGGCTCAACTACAAGTGGAAGATAATGCATAGCCCAAACAGGGGGTGCACTTTGAGTGCCCAGGTTGGGTGATCAGGGAGGATGGGCCACCAGACCCTACAGAACACCTACTACATTAGGCCACTCCACCAAGTCTGGGAGACACAGCAGCTCTACCTAATACATGGAAACAAACACAGGCAGGCTGCCAAAATGAGGAGACAAGAAACATGTCCCAAATCAAAGAACAGAACAAAACTACAGAAAAAGAACTAAGCAATGGAAACAAGCAATCTATTAGATACAGAGTTCAAAACACTGGTTATAAGGATGCTCAATGAACTCAGAACCTCAACAGCATAAAAAAGAAATGAAGGACACAGAAATGAAGGATACAATAACTGAAATAAAGAAAAACTTACAGAGAATCAATAAAGATGAGAATCAAATCAGTGATTTGGAATATAAGGAAGGAAAAAACACCCAATCAGAACAGCAAAAAGAAAAAAGAATCTAAAAAATGAGAATAATATATGATGCCTCTGGGACAACTTCAAAGGTACCAATATTCACATAATGGGAGTATTGGAAGGAGAAGAGAGCAAGAAATTAAAAACCCATTTTAAAAAATGACAGAAAACTTATCCACCTTTGTGAAGGAAAAAAGACACACAAGTCCAGACAGCACCAAGAGTCCCAAACAAAATGAATCCAAAGAGGTCCACATCAAGACACACCACAATTAAAGTTCAAAAGGTTAAAGACAGAAAATCTTAAAAGCAGCAGAGAAAAGCAGTAAGTTACCTACAAGGGTGCTACCATAAGACTGTCAGCTGATTTCTGAACAGAAACTTTGCAGAAGGGACTGACAAGAAATATTCAAAGTGATGAAAAGCATGGACCTATACAACGAAGATAATTCTACCCAGACAAAGCTATCATTTAGAACAAAAAGGATAACGACCTTCCCAGATAAGAAAAAGCTAAAGGAATTCGTCATCATCAAACCAGTATTATATGAAATGTTAAAAAAACTTAAGATGAAAAATTTAAAAAATCAAAGATATCAAAAATAAAATGGCAATAAATACATACCTATCAACAATTGAATCTAAAAAAAAAATAAATGAACAAGAAGAAAAGAAATAGATACAGAGAACATTTGCCAGATAGGAAGGGCTGGGAAATGGGTGAAAAGGTGAGGGGATGACAAGTACAAAATGATCGTTACAGTATAGTCATGGAGATGCAAAGTACATTACAGGGAATATCGTGAATAATATTCTAACTTCTATGCATGGTGTCAGATGGGTGTGAGATTTATCAGGAAGAACAGTCAGTATGTCAACTGTAACTGAAAAATGAAAATGATTTTTCAATAGAAAAAAACGTGAAACTCTTAAGGCATATTTCTATGTTGGTGGGAATAATCCAACAGAGAAAGAAAAATTTATAGTGTCAGAAAGAAAGTAATGGAGGAACCACACTGTGGAGCAAGCTGAGAGTGGATGAGTTTGAGTGCACTCATCCCCTCTCAGGGTGAGGGGCTGACCGTACAGAGAAAGATAAGAGACAGACAACAGCATGAAAATAACCCCAGCAAGCGAGCAAACAAAGATCAATTTTAACGTATGCATCTCTCAACTCTGGTTTCTCTTCGAATCGCAAAAATCCTTTGCCTTTTACTAACATCCATTTCTGCAGCTCTCTGCCCAGCGTCTGCCCATAGAGATGTTCACCATACTCATACTCACCCGTTCCACTTTATCCCTTGTTGTCCACGGCTCAAATGGACTGGTTTCAAAGAGTCGTGCTACCAATCTAGACAAAGAAATAAATACAGCACATGTAATAAGTGTTTCTATGCCCAATATTCAAGCTAGCCTATAAGAACCACAGAAGAGAGACTGTTGTAGGGACAGGAATTCACTGAATTATTTTTAAGACAATAACCAACATCCTGTGACCACTATCTATAACACTGCCTTTCCTTTCAAGTTAACCCAGTCTAACCATTGCAACCGCTGATAATCCTTGTTCTCCATCAAAGAGACAGTGAATCTTAAAAACTAAACTATAGCTACCAACAACAAAGCAAAAAAGACTAACATTCAGAAGTCTGAAATTCAACACAATTTAAGCCTCAGATATTCAAATATGCTTCCAAGAAAGGATGCAGGGCAAGCCAAGGAGTGTGTAAATACTAACAGTGCCCACTGTGTCAAGCATTGTTCCAGTGCCAGAGATACAGATATGAACAAATAGCAATGCTCCCCTTCTGAAATGTCATTCCTGCCTTAAAACATTCTTTCCAAAACAAATGCAAATATTGCACGTAAACTGTAATTGAAAACTTTTTTTAAAAAGTCAAAAACAGAATACTACCTTTCCTTTGACACCCAGGCTTCCAAACTCTCGTCATTTTTCATTTGAACATTCTATTCCTCTTTTTTAGCATCCTTGATAAATGTCTCTTACTCTGCTGGTCCTGTAAATGTAGGTATCCCCATGCTCTGTCCTAGCCTATTTTTCTTGCACTCACACTGGACGCCCATTCTTCCCTACCTACTTCAGAGTCACTGTGAGTATTAAATGAGAAGTACAGACAGCCTGAAAATAGAACATTCTCAATAAATATTATCATCGCACTGCATTATGACTATTCTTCTGATACCTCTGTTAGAGAGCTAACTGTAACATCAAGACACAATGCACAGCCCCTAGTGCATTGCCTGTGACATAGTAGGCATTCAATAAAATTTGTCGAATGAATGAATAAACAAATGTATGAAGGAGTGAACCACTATGTTGGTTTATAAATCAATCTCTGGCAAAGAGGATGTGAAAGTATCCCAGATGAGGCCACTAGGGTGTGACATAATTCTAAGATGCTAAACTTACAAAGGAAGAAATAAATCAAGAAGCAGGGAAAGAAGATAAGGGAATCGTAGGCCCAGACTGAATCAACCTGGCTCCTTCTCCCAACTGCATGATCTAACTGGTTTAATAATGAGGAATCCTTTTGTCACTTCTGAGTGAGTGAGGTGAAACAGAGAGAAACCTGATTTCTCCTTATCCAACCTCCCAAGTAAGATACTTCTCCAAATTAAAACTCAGTAATTTTTAATTGGAGGATTTGAAGATCTGCAGATTTAATCTCTCAACACACACAGTTTTCTCATCCAAAGTAACCCGCATCTCCCTTTCTTAGACATCGCTGTTTCTTTTCTAGACTAACATCAAGGTATTAAGACAACATTCTAACTAGAGATTCTAAGACTTCACTGTATGGAACACACTCCTTTATAACCCTTAGTGAGAGCATTACGAACAAATGTATTTAGTTAACTCTATTTTAGAAGGCACAAAAAGAAGCACTTTACTTACTGATAGGCAAAATGGGGCACAGGGTATGGGAGGAAGGGTCTGTGAGCCACACCAAAGACATACTGCACCAGGTCAAAAAGAAGGTATCGATTGGGCCTACAAAGAAAAAATTCATAGTTACTCAAATTATTGGCACCTACAAACTCACTTGTTTAACAAAAATAACATTTTTCTTATGACAAAGGAATATAAATGTACTGTAGTAAATACAGGTTAGTACAAAGAAAATTTATCATAGTCCCACCAGAGATAAAGTTAATGTATTGAGCTGGCCAAAAAGTTCGCTTGTTTTTTCTGTAAGATGGCTCTAGTAGCACTAAGTTGTCTTTAACTTCGTTTGAAACAACTTTGTTAGATTGTATTGTGACAGCTGTCTTATCAGCGTGCATTTTAAAAAACTTATCAAATTCGGTAAATTTTTCTGTAGTCATTTTAATTTTGAAGATGGAAGAAAATATGCAACATTTTTGGCATATTATTCTTTATATTTCAAGAAAGGTAAAAATGCAACTAAAACGCAAAAAAAGATTTGTGCAGTTTATGGAGAAAGTGCTATGACTGCCTGAACATGTCAAAAGTGGTTTGTCACGTTTTGTGCCAGAGATTTTTTGCTGCATGGTGCTCCACATTTGGGTAGACCAGTTGAAGCTGATACCAATCAAAGTGAGGCATTGAGAACAATCAATGTTATACCACACAGAAGATAGCTAACATATTCCAAATATCCAAATCAATAGAATTATTAGTGGAAATGAAAAACACCTTTTATTTTACAGAAGAAAACATATGGCCTTTTTGGCCAACCAAACATTTAATATATAACCTTCTCACCCCTTTACATATACATTCTTGTTTTGATAAGTGTAAGATTACACAGGTCATCCGGTTCTGTAATGCCTTTTTCACTTACTAGTACACCACAAGCATCTTTCAATGTCATTAAGTCCTCCAGTCCGTGGTCAATGCCTGCACATCCTGCACTGCACGTAATCATAGCCTATTTTACCAATTCCCAGTTTGGGGATATTTAGGCTATTAAAAATATTTCTCTTTTGTAAAGTAATGCCTTATTAAACATTCTTATAGCAAATATTTGTGCTTATCCACAACTATGTGTTTAGAATACATTCTAGAAGTGAAACTTCTCAAAGTATACTTCAAGATTTCAAGGCTTTTACTGACTACTTCCAAACTACCTTCTGGAAAGGTCATATAAATTTACATAGAATGTTAGTAGCCCACTCACCAAAAATGAGTTTAGGCATAAAAAATAAACAAAATTTTGCCAATCTGCCAGATAAAAAGGGTACCTCAATGGTTTAATTAGCATTATTTTAATATTAAAGATTAATTTTTTTCTTTATATATTTTTGGCCATTTACACTTCTTTTCCTCCTGGAGTTCCTATCTATGAGAATAATTTGTAGAGTTCTTTATATTTTAATAACATAGTTGTAAGTATATTTTACTGTTTATATTTTACCTTTCAATGTTTAGGTGTTTTGTGGCATATAAAAGTATAAAATTCCACATAATCAAAACTACTGACTGCTTTTACTTTATGGTCTGGCTTTATAGTTAGAAAATCCCTTTCCAATTAGCAGTAACATAAATTACCACATATTTTTACTAATGCTTTTCAGTTGTTTTTCTTAATCCACAAGTTCTTTCAATGATGTATTTTTGTATTGTTATAAGGAAAAGATGTAATACCATTTACTGAATAATCTACCCTCTTCCCATATTTTGAAATGGCACTTTTTATCACATACTACATTCTTATATATATTTATGACTGTTTCTGGACTTCATATTCTATTTCTCAAATCCGAGTAGTTTTGTACCAATATAACCTAGCTTTAATAATTATTATTGCATATAATACTACCTTTTAATATCTCTTCACACACTTTCCTAATCCCTTTTACCTCTGAAAGCTTGTGATAGCTGAGAGCCAAATGAAAGTAATTTAATGAGAACCTCATCATTCTGACATTTTCATCCAAAAACAAAACAAAGAAAAAAGAAAATGTCAGTTAGGGGAAATGGCAGACAAAACCATCAAATAGCTTCCTTCAAGTTCCAGAAAGATGTATAAAGAGCACCGCAGGGCATATAATATATGCTATGTCAAAGAACAATTTATAATCCTTCTGAAGACAAGCCATACTGGAATCACGGGCAAACTAATTACATGTAATATACTGGCTCTTCAGCTGTTCTCAAACACCTTGTGTTCCATTAAAAGTAACTCAAAGCCTGGTTTAAGTGCCTCTCCCTGCTCACAGATCATGGTACACTGAAGCCTGTGTCCTTCCCAGCTAAGATTTCACTGTCATTCCTTTGCAATTATTCTCAGCAAGACCTTGCCCCCCGTCTCCTCTCCACACCAGCAGAGCAAAACCCCTACTGTGGTTAACCCAGCTATCTGCCTGCCCTGTCTGCTCTGTACCTGAACCGCCAGCAAGACGGAGTCGTAGAGAAAGAACTGGACTAACTGGCTCCCCCTTTGATTTCTGATCACTACCTTCAAATGGAAACCTCAGCTCCACTTCACAATCCTACTATTCCCTCCTACAAGTGCTCTTTTCTGCACTCCCAGGGAGTACTTCCTGCCTTCTCTGTCCTCAGACTTCCCATATACCACTCTGATCACCTCTTGCCTTTTCATTGATGATCTCCTCGTCTTTTTATCATTTTTTAATGATGTCTTTGAAGTACAAAGGTTTTAATTTTGATGAAATATAATTTACCCATTTTTCTTTTATAGAGTATGCTTTTTCATATCTAAAAAATCAACCTAATTCAAGGTTTAAAATTTTTTTAGTTTTCTTCCCCAAAGTTTTAGCACTTACATCTAGGTCTCTGATATATTTTGAGTTAATTTATTTTTTTAAGTATATTTTATTGATTATCCTATTACAGTTGTTCCGATTTTTCCCCTTTTCCCCCCCTTTGCCGGTACACCACTTCCCTCCAGCAATCTTCCCCTTAGTTCATGTCCATGAGTCGTACACATAAGTTCTCTGGCTTCTCCATTTCCTATACTTTTCTTAAAATCTCCCTATTTTGTACCTACCATTTATGCAACTTAATCCCTATACTTTTCCCCCCATTCTTCCCCTCATCCTGCAGCTAACCCTCCATGTGATTTCCTCTTACAGTTTGTTTTTTTTAAATTCAGTTGTTGATAGTTATGAGTTTGTTGTCATTTTATTGTTCATATTTTTATCATCTTTTTCTTAGATAAGTCCCTTTGACATTGCATATAATAAGGGATTGGTGATGATGAACTCCTTTAGCTTTACCTTGTCTGGGAGGCACTTTATCAGCCCTTCCATTTTAAATGATTGCTTTACTGGATACAGTAATCTAGGTCCTTGCTTTTTATCACTTTGAATACTTCTTACCAGTCCCTTCTTGCCTGCAAAGTTCTTTTTGAGAAATCAGCTGACAGTCTCATGGGAACTTAGTCCTATCTCAGAGATAGTCCCCTGAGAGACTGGCAGTTTCTTCTGCCACCCCAACCCCTACTGGTTTTTACAGCCAGAAGTTACGAGGCTTTCTTTTCCTGGTGCTAGAACCCTGGGCTGCATGTTCTGTCCTGAGGCTGGGACCACTCACTCCCAAGGTATCCCTCCCGATTTTATTCACCACATGTGAATGTGGGACCACCCACTCTTCTGGCCACCATCACCATATCATGTCTTTTCCTTTCCTAGAACCCATCTTGATAAATATGGCTTCTTTAAATCACTGGTTATGAGACTTCCATACAGTTTGATTTTCTGGCAGTTCTGGGTGTTTTTTGTTTTGTGACTGGTTGTTATCCTTCTTATGGTTGTGCAAAGAAGTGAATCATGTCTACCTACATCTCCATCTTGACGAGAAGTTTCTGAATTTCTTCATGCATGATGTGAAGTAAGGGTTGATGTTCACCTTTTTACATGTGGATATCCCAGTACCATTAGTTGAAAAGCCTTTTTTTCTTCTTTGAAGTGCTATGGCACTTTGGCAAAAATCAACTGTCCATAAAGTTTTATTTCTGGACTATGAAGTCTTTTCACAGACCTATGTGTCTATTTTTTTTTGTTTTGTTTTGTTTTGTTTTTGCCAGTACCATACTTCATAATTTTAGCTTTATAGTAAGTTTTGAAATTGGGAAGCTTAAATGCTACAATGTTATTCTTCCTTGTAGAAATGGTTTCTTCTTTTACATTTCCAGAGAGATTTAGAATCAATTTGTCAATTTCTGCAAAAAAAGTTTGTTGGAATTAAGTTGAAAGAGTTAAGTTGAAAATATAGATCAATTTGGGGAAAACTGCTTTTTAACAATATTGACTCTTCCAATCCATGAATATGAGATGTCTTTCCATTTATTTAGGCCTTCCTTAATTTCTCTTAGCAATGTTTTGTAATTTTCAGTGTACGTCTTTACTTTTCTTACTAAATTTCTACCTAAGTATTTCACCCCTTTTGAGCTATTATAAATAAAATTATTTTCTTAATTTTAATTTAGTTTGTTCACTTGCTAACTAACGTATAGAAATTGATTTTTACATGTTGATCTTGTACCTTACAATCTTGATGAACTTGTTCATTAGTTCTCAGTTTTGTGTGTGTGTGTGTGTGTGTGTGTGTGTGTGTGTATCAATAGGTAGTTAATAAATGAATGATAAACAGAATGGACCAAATCATGTAATTAGTAATTGTGAAAAAACTAGAAGCAAAATTAAGGTCTTATGCCTCTGCCTTAGCATCAAAGTGTCAAAAAAAACAAGCAAAGTTTTCCCCTGGAGCTGAAAAGGCAAAAAGAGAAGTGTAGATGCATTATTACAATTTCACAAGGAAAAATGCCCACACTGCTATGTCTAGCGTGACTTGACCCATCTACCAAATAAGTATGAATTACTAGAACCTCGTGAAGAGACTGAAGTGACTGGAAAAGAAAATGGCTAACTCACCCCATAGCCAATCTTTACTGAGTAGGAAACAAGCAAAATTCATAAAGCCATTTCTATTCATCTATTCCTTGGAATCCTGGTCTAAGTGCCACTTGACTACAGCCTGAAGTTGTTTGAGTCTTGTGTTTTATGGAACTTGTACTAACCACATTTTTTTTTGGTGAATGATTTTCCTAGGGTATAACTGATTGCATGCTAATGTTCCAAATTGGGAACTCAGAGACATATTAGGAACATAAGACGCACCTAGGTTCCAGAGGAGGAAAATAGAAAAAAAAATTTGAAGCACAAAATGTGGTAAAATATTTAATAACATAAATAACATAATATTTCACCAATGTAAATGTAAACAGAACTCAATAGCAGCATTAACAACCATTATTCCTTCCAAGGGGGGCAGGGAGGAGGTGCGTCTTATAGTCTGAAAAGTACTGTGCATCTTACACTGGTTAGTTAACATGGAAACACAATAGTCTTATTTATACACACAAATTTTGTTTTACTAAATTTACAATAATAGTAAAATGTAACAGTTTATGAATTAATTATCCTGGAAATAAATACTATATATCTGGTGTGGAGAAAAAAATGTCTCCTTTTGCAGAAGCAAATATTTCTTAGGAATTAAGCTATCCCTTAATTATTGAATCAGATCCCCACATTTCACAAAACATCAGGTATCACAGGTTTCCTTCACAGAATGATGGGGTTCTGAGCCAATTATTAGGTAGATTTGGTACTTCTGAACTTGATGGGTTGAGTCTCAGTTTTTTAGTCTTAGTTAATTCAGTAAAAAGGTCCTAAACCTAACTATGATATAATTTAACAATTTCAGGTAAGTCACATAGTTTAACTGTGTCCCATATTTCTGGAGAGCAAATTTCAACAGAGAGCATATAATAAAAGATTAGTTTTGCACAGCATGAGCAACTGTACCCTAATCCAACCATTTCCCACCTTTTGGGGCTTTCAGATACTCTAGCAAAATTAATTTCATTCTGCAACTATATTTACTCCCTAAAAGTTTTTTTGTGTTTTGGAATTTATAGTTACATCTTTTTACATGGTAAAAACTTCACTGGAGTAGTACAAAACCATCCGCTGTTGAGGGGGGCACAGTTACTGGACTAAGCATATATAATCGACTAATATACATAATCATCTTTTGTGACAGAAAAACCATTTATTAAAGCAGATTCCTGGGTTCCTTCAAATTCTGACTTATTTTAAGCATTCAGGAGATTCTGATAATGGTGGCCTTTGGACAGCTCTCTGAAACACAGTGGCCTAAGAGTGAAGGGAGTAAGGTTTCTGGAATAAATACAGTTGAAGACAGACGCTATAAAAATGCAACAAATGAGTCTGTTAGTGAGGAATACATTTAGAAATTACTGTTGTAAGTTACGTTATTTCATTTTAACAGGTAACACAATTTTTAAGCCAAACTTTAACCACCTACCCAACGAAGGCAAAAGTTTTCCCTCTGGCATCTGGCTCCTTAATTGCATTAACAATTCCTTTGGCTACATCTACCACCTATAAGAAATTATAACATGTGTTTAAGTGATTGTTGAAAGAGAGGGAGGAGAAAGGACAAGAAGCAGACCACGTCAGTCACACACATTCGCACACATCAAAATCATAAAATTAAAACAACAGACAGTGTTTTTAGAAAACTTCTTAAAGAATACCCTTCTTAAGAGCTCTAATAACCTCCACATTGGAAATTTTTTAACATTTTTCTAGTCGGAACATGTTTATCTTCATATGGCTATCAAGGCCTTTCTGATTTGCCTTTGCTCATTATTGCTCCAGTTTCATCTGTTACTAAACAATCTCAAACTATTAGGCTGAACACACGGACTTGTTTATATTCTACCACTTTGACATTCAAAAATAATTTTATATGGTTGCAGACCCCATGGTTTTCAACTGGGGTGATTTTGGTGCCCAGGGTACATTTGGCAAATGCCTAGAGATATTTTTAGTTGTCACAACTGGGAGGTGGGGAGAATGCTACTGCCATCTGGTGGCTAGAAGGCAGAAATACTGCTAAAAATTCTATAATAGCCCCTAACAACAGGAGTGTCAAATTCATTTTCACCGGGGGCCACATCAGCCTCACAGTTGCTTTCAAAGGGCCAAAATAATTTTAGGACTGTATAAATGTAACTACTCCTTAACTGTTAAGGAGTTGAAATTACATTAGGCCCTTTGAAGGCAACTGCAAAGCTGATATAGGCCCCAGTGAAAATGAGTTTGACACCCTACCCTACAACAAAGGACTATGCAGCCCAAAATGTCATTAGCGCCAATCTGTCAACCCTTAGTTCAACATAATATGGAATCCAACACGCTCTCTCACCTCTGGGTCCCTGTACATACTGTTCTCCCTGTAGAGGATACTTTCCCCCAACCTCTTCATTTGATTTACTGTTAGTCATTTTTAAAGTCTCACCTTAGACCCTGACTGGTGTGGCTCAGTGCATTTAGTGCCAGCCTGTAAACCAAAAGGTTGCCGGTTTGATTCCCAGTCAGGGCACATGCCTGGGTTGCAGGCCAGGTCTCCAGTTGGGGGTGTGCAAGAGGCAACTGATATCTCTCTTATACATAAGTGTTTCTCTCCCTCTTTCTCCCTCCCGTCCCTCTCTCTAAAAATAAATAAATAAAATCTTTAATAAATAAAAAAATAAAGCCTCACTTGAGATGCCATTTCCTCTGGGAGGCCTTCCCTGATCCTCAGTCTGGATTAGGTGGGTTAGGTATCCCTCTGACATAACTCTGTAAGCCCCTCTCCCCATCACAGCATGTAACACACTGCATGGTAACTGCTCTGCTGACACGCCTCTGGCTGAGACCAACTTGAGGAGAGCAATTTATGTCTATACAGTTAATATCCCTAAATCTCCACTGCCACAAACAGTGTGTTTGGCACACTGAGGGTTCAAAACATTTTCCTTAAATGAATGAACAAGTGAAAACACAGAGAATGCATGTAACTCTTGGGTAAACTACGAGGCAACCAGATGAAGCATACTGACAAAGAAGAATATGATAGAGTTACAGGATTAGGGCAAAACAACAAAACAAATCACCTGAATCTGAATTCAGAGCTCCTTCATCCACAGTACTTACATATACTGGTTGTTTCACTGTCTTCTGGCCCAAGGATATAAGAGGTACACCTCCAAACCAGCGCATATCTGGCAGAAAAAAAAGAGAACTATTCTTAGATAGCCTGAACTGCTGTAAGATCCACCAACTTCCAGGCCCTCCAGGTTAGCACAATCACTTTGTATAACAGAAATAATGAAATAAATGTACCTGACTCTGAGGAAACTGAGCAGCTTCCACTTTTTTATACAACAAATAATAAAAGTAAAAAGGCCAAATATAGAGTGGGGCAAAAGCAAGTTTACAGTTGTAGGTATACAAAAGAGTTTATTCTTGTATTATTATTTATTAATATTGTATTATTCCCAATATGAACAACTGTAAACCGACTTTGCCCTACCCTGTATTTAAGGACACCGAGAGAAAGAGAAAGGTCAAATGGCTTGGGTACTTGTCTTCTAGTCTCTAATGCTAAAGGTATGGTCATCCCCAAGACTGGACTCAAAAAGAAATTACATCTCATTTTAAGAACAACAGCAATCAAAAGGTCACCCTGGCTGGCATAGCTCAGTGGATTGAGCGCGGACTGGGAACCAAAGTGTCCCAGGTTCAATTCCCAGCCAGGGTACATTCCTGAGTTGCAGGCCATAACCCCCAGCAACCGCACATTGATGTTTCTCTCTCTCTCTCTCTCTCTCTCTCTCTCCCCATCCCTTCCCTCCCTAAAAAAATAAATAAAATCTAAAAAAAAAAAAAAGTCAGTGATATGACATACACAACCCACAAAAAGATACTAAGAATGAGAATTTAGTATATGATAAATGTAGTACCACAAATATGTAGAAAATGAAAATAATATTTAATGTATGGTGCTGAGACAATCATTCTACTATTTAGAAAAAGAAATGGCTCACACCTCACCATAAAACAAAGCAAATCAAATCCCAAGTGGATTAAATGTAAAGGTAAAAAAAGCTTCTCAAGAAAAATTTAAAAGAAATTATTAATACGAGCATCAAAAAGAATAAAATAGGGACTTCCGGCAAGATGGAGGCATAGGTGGATGCACCGTACCTCCACGCACAACCAAGATTAGAACAACAACAATTTAGAGGCAGAATAACACCCAGAACTGACAGAGAATTTATCTGAATGGAAGTCGGACAGCCAAGAAGTTGAAGTAGACCCGTTCATCCAGACCAGTAGGAGGGGCGGGGCGGAGCAGCTGGGTGCGGGTCATGGTGTGTGGAAAACAGGGAGAACTGGGCGCATAAGGCAACCAGGAGCACGTAAGCCTTCCGGGACGCAGCAGTGGACCCTGAGTATGCAAGCAGCGGCTGGCGGACCCAGTGAGGCGGCATTGTGGACCAGGGCAGAGCGCACAACCCAGGATCCCAGAGAAGGGACTGAGATCCCAGGAGAATGGAGCTACTGCCATTGTTCCCTTCCGCCCCGCGCCCTCACCCACATACAACGTCACAATCTAGCGACTGGGGTGCCCAGCCCAGGGGAACACCTAAGGCTCCGCCCCTCACCATAACAAGAGTGACCAGACCCGGAAAAAAAAATTTTAAAAATTTAAAAAAGGAGAGAGAGAGAGACATGTGTCCAACAGAACAGATCAGTCCCCCAGGACTCATCCTTTTGGGTGACCAAGAAATAGCAAATCTATCAGATGCACAGTTCAAAACACTGGTGATCAGGAAGCTCACAGAATTGGTTGATTTTGGGCGCAAATCAGATGAAAAAATGCAGGTTACCATAAAAGAGATGAAGGAAGATGCACGAAGAACCAAAAGTGAAGGGAAGGAAACTGGGACTCAAAACAATAGAATGGACCAGAAGGAAGAAAAAAACAATCAAGCAGGGAAGAATAAAGAAATGAGAATTCAAAAAAACGAGGAGAAGCTTAGGAACCTCCAGGACATCTTTAAACGTTCCAACATCCGAATTATAGGGGTACCAGAAGGGGAAGGGGAAGAGCAACAGATTGAGCACGTATTTGAACAAATAATAAAGGAGAACTCTCCATTCTGGCAAAGCAAATAGACTTCCAAGAAATCGAGGAAGCTCAGAGGGCCCCAAAGAAGTTGGACCCAAGAAGAAACACACCAAGGCACATCATAATTACATTAGCCAAGGTGAAAATGAAGGAGAGAATCCTAGAAGCAGCAAGAGATAAGGGGACAGTAACCGACAAAGGAGTTCCCATCAGACTGTCAGCTGATTTCTCAAAAGAGACCATACAGGCAAGAAGGGGCTGGAAAGAAATATTCCAAGTCATGAAAGACAAGGACCTACATCCCAGATTACTCTATCCAGCAAAGCTTTCATTTAGAATGGAAGGGCAGATAAAGTGCTTCTCAGATAAGGTCAAAATAAAGGAGTTCATCATCACCAAGCCCTTATTTTATGAAATGTTCTCAGATAAGGTCAAGTTAAAGGAGTTCATCATCACCAAGCCCTTATTTTATGAAATGTTAAAGGGACTTATCTAAGAAAAGAAGATAAAGAAAAAACATGTATAGTAAAAGGACAGCAAACTCACAATTATTAACAACCACACCTAAAGCAAAACCAAAAGAAACTAAGCAAACATCTAGAACAGGAACAGAACCACAGAAATGGAGGGCACATGGAGGGCTAGCAGCAGGGGGGTGGGAGGAGGAGAGAAGGGGAAAAGGTACAGAGAATAAGTAGCATAGAATGTAGGTTGAAAATAGACAGGGGGAGGGTAAGAATAGTATGGGAAATGTAGAAGCTAAAGAAATTATAAGTATGACACATGGACATGACTAAGGGGGGGATATGGGTGGGAGAGGGTGTACAGGGTGGAGGGAAGTGAAGGGGGGAAAATGGGACAACTGTAATAGCATAATCAATAAAATATATATATATAAAAAGAATAAAATACTTAGGAACAAACTTAACCATGTTGGCTAAAAACCTGCACACCAAAAACTATAAAACACTGCCAAAAGAAGTTTAAAGACACAGGTGAATGGATAGATATTCTGAGTTCATGGCCTGGAAGACAACACTGTTAAAATGTCAACAGTACCCAAAGCAATCTACAGATTTAAAGCAATCCTTATCAAAATCTCAATGGTGTTTTTGCAGAAATACAGAAAACTCCATCTTAAATTTGTAAGGAATCTTCTTTTTAAAAGATTTTATGTACTTATTTTTTAGAGAGGGGAAAGGAGAGCAAAAGAGAAGGAGAGAAACATTGATGTGTGGTTGCCTCTTGCATGCCCCTTACTGGGGACCTGGTCCGCAACCCCGGCATGTGCCCTGACTGGGAATTGAACCAGCGACCCCTTGGTTCCTAGGCCAGCACTCAATCCACTGACCTACACCCGCTAGGGCAAATTCATATGGAATCTTAAAAGAATCGTGAATAGCCAAAACTATCTTGAAAAAGAAAAAACAAAGTTGGGGGTCTCAAACTTCTTGATTAAAACTTATTATTAAAACTATAGTATTCAAAATAGTGTACAGTGATCAAAACTGTGGCACAAAGACAGACATATAAACCAATAAAATAGAGAGAAATAGCCCTTGTATATACCTGGTCAAATAATTTTTGACAAGGTGCCAAGGCCATTCAACAGGAAAATGACAGTCTCTTCAACAAATGGTGCTTGGAAAACTGGATATCCACATATAAAAGAATCAAGTTGGACCCTTACACCTTGATTCACATACAAAAATTAACTCAAAATGGATCAAAGACTTAATCCTAGAGCAAAAACTATAAAATTCTCAGATGAAAACATAGGGAAAGCTATGTTTTCCCTAGCCATGTCATCACATGGGACTTGGCAATGATTTCTGGGATATGACAACAAAACCACTGGCAACAAAAGTAAAAATAGATAAATCAGACTACATGAAAATCAAAAACTTCTGTGTATCAAAGGATATAATTAACAGAGTGAAAAGGCAACCTAAAGAATAAAAAAAAATTTGCAAATCCTATATTTAATAAGGGGTTACTAATCATAATATATAAAGAGCTCTTACAACTCAACAATAACAAAAAGAGACCCAATTAAAAATGAGTAAAGCACATAGACATTTCTGCCAGTAAGATACACAAGTGGCTAACAAGCACAGGAAAAGATGCTCAACATCACTTACCATTAGGGAAATGCAAATCAAAACCATGAAATACCTTGTTCTACTATTTAAAAAATAGAAAATAACAAGTGTTTATGAGAACACAGAAAAATCGGAACCCTGTGTACTTAGTGGAAATGTAAACTGCTACAGCCACTATGGTTTAAAATAGTATGGTAGTTCCCCAAATATTAAAAATAGAACTACCACATGACTTAGCATTCCACTTGTGGATATACACGCCAAAGAACTGACAGCAGGGTCTCAAAGAGATATGTGTACACCCATGTTCATAACAGCATTATTCACAGTGAAAAGGCGGAAGCAACCCAAGCTTCCATTGACAGATTAATGGATAAACAAAATGTGGTATGCACCCTAAGAATCCTGAAACAACAATTCAAAAGAACCTACGTACCCCAATGTTCATAGCAGCACAATTTACAATAGCCAAGGCTGAAAACAGCCCAAGTGCCCATCAGTAAATGAGTAGATCAAAAAACTGTGGTACATTTACACAATGGAATACTACACAGCAAAAAGAAAGAAAGAAGGAGTTCCTACCCTTCACAACAGCATGGATGGAACTGGAGAGTGTTATCCTAAGTGAAATAAGCCATGCAGTGAAAGACAAATACCATATAATCTCACCCAGAGTGGAACCTAATCAACAAAATAAACCAGCAAGCAAAATACAACCAGAGACATGGAAATAAAGAACAAACTGACAGTGACCAGAGAGAGGGGCATAATGGGGGAAAGAAGGAGAAGGGTCAAGTCAAGGAACAGGTATAAAAGACCCATGGACAAGAACACTGGGGTCAGGGGGTGGGGAGGACTGAATGTGGGAAAGGAAGGTGGGAGGGCAGGGGAGAGTAATAGAGGGAAAAGGGGGACAACTGTAACCGAATAACAAAATTTTTTAAGGAAAAGAACATAGAGATATATATATACACACACACACAACGGAATATTATTCAGCCTTAAAGAGGAAGAAAATCCTATTACATGCTACAACATACATAAACCTTGAGGACATTATGCTCAGTGAGGTAAGTCAATCAAATACATGTGGTACCTAGAGTACTGAAATTGAGAGACAAAAAGTAAAATAGTGGTTTCCAGGGGCTAGAGGTAAGAGGATATAAAAAGTTGTTTAATGCCTATAGTTTCAGTTTTGCAAGATGAAGTTTTAGATATCTGTTGTACTACAGTGTGAATATGCATAACAGAACTATACACTGAGAAATCACTAAGATGGTGTCTTAGTCTACCATGATGAAATACCATAGACTGAAGTGTTAAATTCATTTTCTCCCAGCTCTGGAGGTTGGAAAGTCCAAGATCAAGATGCCAGCTGTTATGGTTCAAGGCGAGAGCTCTCTTCCCAGCTTGCAGTCAATTGTGTTCTCACGTGGCCCTTCCTCAGTGCACACAGGCAGGGAAAGTGAGAGAGATCTCTCTCTCCTTAGAATGCTACCAATCCAACTGGGTTAGGACCCCACCCTTATGAGCTCATTTAACCTTAATTACCTCCTAAAAGCTTTATCGCCAAATGCAATCACATTGGGAGTTACAGCCTCAGGAAAAGAATTTGTGAGGGACAGGATTCAGTCCATAGCAGCTGATAAATTTAATACTATGTATTTTATTTTTAGCACAATGTTTTAAAAAGTAGAATGCAGGAGGTAAAAGAACACAAGCAAAGTGTGGGGGCATATGATAAAAACACTTAAATTCAATCAGCGAACTGCAGTACATCCATACAGTAAAGTATTATTCAGTTATAAAAAGAAACGAGCTATCAAGGCATGAAAAGACCTGGAGTAAACCTAAATGCATATTGCTCATTGAAAAAAGCCAAACTGAAAAGGTTACAAACTGTACGATTCCCTACTGTATAACATTCTGGAAAAGGCAAAATTATGGAGACAGTTAAAAGATCAGTGTTTGCCAGGTGTTAGGGTGGGGATGAAAGGTAGGCAGGCAAGGAGGATAAATAGGTGTACCACAGGGGATTTGGGGGACACTGAAATTGTTCTGTAAGATATTCTAATGGTAAATTTATATCATTTATACATTTGTCAAAACCCACAGAATACACAACAAAAAGAATGAACCCTCTGATGATTAGTGATACTGAGCATTTTTCATACGTCTATTGGCCATCTGTATGTCCTCTTTGGAGAAGTGTCTATCAGGTTCTTGGCCCATTTTTTAACTGGATTTCTTGTCTTTCTGGTGTTGAGGTGTGTAAGTTCTTTACATGTTTTGAAATTAACTTCTTATCAGATGTACCATTGGCAAATATGTTCTCCCATACAGTGGGTTCCCTTTTCATTCTGATTATTGTTTCCTTTGCTGTGCAGAAACTGTTCAGTTTGATATAGTACTATTTCTTTATTTTTTCTTTTGTTTCCCTTGCTCTAGGGCATATACTGGCAAAAATACTGCTATTTGAGACATCTAAGGTTTTATCGCCTGTTTTCTTCTAGGACTTTTTTTTGGTTTTGCAACTTACATTTAAGTCTTTTACATGTTTTCAGTTCATTCTTGTGTATGGTGAAAGTTGGTTGTCTAGTTTTATTTTTGCATGTACCCACCCAATTTTCCTAACACCATTTATTGAAGAAACTGTTCTCACACTCCATTGTATGTTCTTGTCTCCTTCAAAAAAATGCTCAACATCACTAATTAGCAGTGAGACACAAATTAAAACAACAATAAGGTACCACATCACACCTGCCAGAATGGCTATCATCAATAAATCAATAAACATATACTGGCAAGGATGTGAAGAAAAGAGAACCCTTATGCACTGCTGGTGACAATGTAGACTGGTGCAGCCACTGTGGAAAACAAATGACATAAAACAATTTTCAATCTTCAAAAACTGCAAATGGAACTGCCACTTGACCCAAGTGATCCCACTTCTGGCAATATATTCCAAGAATCCCAAAACGCCATCAGAAAGATTATATGCACCCCTATGTTCAAAGCAGCGTTATTTATAATAGCCCAGGTCTACAAACAGCCTTAGTGCCCAAAAGTAGATGAGTGGATATAACAGCTGTGGTACATCTACACAATGGAACACCATGCAGCTGTATAAAAGAAGGAGCTCTTACCCTTTGCAACAGCATGGATGGACCTGGAGATTATTATGCTAAATGAAATAGGGCAGTCAGAAAAAGACAAATACCATATGATCTCACTTACTTGTAATCTAAGGAACAGAATAGGCGTAGATACATGGAACAGACTGACACAGCTCAGTGGGGAAGGGAGTGGGGGGGACTGGAAGAGATTAGCCAAAGAACATATATACATGTACGCATAGCCCATGGACACAGACAACAATGTGATGAAGGCGGGGAAGAGTGGGGTGGGGGTTGGGCAGAGGAGGGCAAAGTGATGGAAAATGGGGGACAATGTAAACTATGGACTTTAGTTAATAATAATGTACTAACATTGGTTCATCAATTGTAACAAATGCACAACATAAATCCAAGATGTGAACAGGGAGAACTGTTATGGGGGTGGTGCATGAGGGGTTAAAGAATATATAATAACTGTTTTCCAAACAGAATAGACTTTCCTCAGAAAACTAAAAAATGGAACTGCCTTTTGTCTCAGGGGCAATACCACTGCTGGGATTATATCCTAAGAACCCTGAAACACCAATTCAAAAGAACCTATGCACCCCAATGTTCACAGCATTGCTATTTACAATAGCCAAGTGTTGGAAGACACCTAAGTGCCCATCAGTAAATGAGTGGATCAAAAAACTATGGTACATTTACACAATGGAATACTACTCAGCAGAAAGAAAGAAGGAACTCTACCATTCGTGGTGGCATGGATGGATCTGGACAGCATTATGCTAAGTGAAATAAGCCAGGCTGTGAAAGACAAATACCATATGATCTCACCTTTAAGTGGAACCTAATTAACAAAACAAGCAAGCAAAAAATAACCATTGAAATAAACACTGAAATAAAGAATAAACTGTCAGTGACCAGAAGGAAAGGGAGAGGGTTAATGGGGGAAAATAGAGGAAGATCCAATAAGGAGCATGTATAAAGGACACACAGACAAAGCCAAAGGGGCTAGGTTCATGGGTAGGAGGCAGGGATGAGTGGGGCAGGGGGCTGTGGTGGGGTCAAATGGAGACAACTGTACTTGTACAACAGTAATAAAATTTTTTTTCACTTTTCCATTCAATTTTTCTATAAACCTACAACTGCTGTAAAATATAAAGTCTAAAATAAAAAATTTAAGAATTAATAATAAGCCAACAAAAAGCTGCAGCAAATACAAGAAAATAGATGTATCCTTAATAGCTAAAGAGCCTAAATAAATCAGTAAGAAAACATATCTCAAAAAAAAAAAAACCATGGGCAAAAGACATACACAAAAATAATACAAACACTCAAAAGGAGAAACGGGAACTTCTGATAAAAAAAAAAAGTAACTCACTAACCTTCCTAATACTTCCTATGGGGAAGGTTTGAATCCTCTCCCAATACATAAGTGAATAAATTGAGAGATAACTGGTAATTCAGTAGAATCAGAAACTATAGGTAGGTTCTTACCACAGACTTAAAAATGGATTCTCCTCTCCCATTCCCATAGAAGTACAGGGAAATAATTTTTTCACCCCTAACGTCTCAAAATCTCATCACTTAGTCAAAAACACTGATTTTCTCTGCCAAGACAAGTCTAATTAGCAATCAAATATATAAAAACAGAGCAAACATGAAACATCTAGCCTATGAAAGCAGTTTATACATCAAGTATTTCTAGTGTATTAATGAACAAACTAATATTTACTGATCTCTAATCCTGTCCCATAGAAATTCCTATTAACAAGGAAGAACTATTAAATGTGGCTGACAAAGAGTAGTATCACTACACTACCTCTTTGTTTTTGAAAATCAATACCCAAGAGACTTGGCAATCACACTAAAGGAGAGAAAGCAGTAAGGAATGAGCTTCATATGAAAAGTATAAATGGAAGCATCATTTAAGCATTCACTTTGTGCCAGCTGATGTAACATGGGCTACTTCATCTAATTAACACAGCCTCTTAAGGTAGACATTGTTATTTCCATTTTAAGATGAGGAAGCTGCCACTCAGAGACTTGCCAAAATCACAGAACTAGTTAGTCCCACAGCCAAAATTTAAACTCAGGTCTCTGACTTCTAAATACATGCTCTTTCCACGAATCTAAGGTGCTTCTTTTGATATACACTAATGAAGATCCTGAGAAGGACCATGTTGACTAGGCAAACATGACCTTGGGGGAGAAAATAGCACCTGGGAGAGAAAAAGTATAACCTCAGTCTGCCACGTCAAAGAACACTGTTAGTTCGTGCTTAACTTCAACCTAGTTAAGAATACGAACTTGCAAAATAATTGAGGAATCTATCTTCTCGTCCAAAGATGTCTGATGGCTTTATGATGATGGCTTCTGGAAATGCATCTCTTACTTCTTTCTCTCCAACAGCCTAAAAGAACAAGCAAACAAAAGAAAGTTCTGAGATGAGTAAAAAAATCTTCCATTCTATTCACTATTGGGACACTACTTGTATTTTAAAGGTCATATGTTCCTCCAGACTAAGGTAACCATACTATTCATAAATCTCAATTACACAGAATTTTTCTTTAGAATCACACAGAAATTTTACCCTCTTATAGCTCTTGTTGGGCTTCTTCTCATATTTGTCGCAGAGAAGCTTACACAGAAGGAGAAAAATCAGAGTAGATTTTTTTTCTAGCCTCCATTCTTCCTTCTAATTACAGGTTCTCTGATTTGTGTCGACAACCTAGCAGACTGCCAGAGAAAGGAGGGCGTGCAGTGGGCAACCATGGTGGAATCTGCAGCAGTGCACACCTACCCAGGGGAGGCCAGGGAAAGGTCCTTAATCTTCCTGCCCTCGGTTGTTACCATCTGCTCATCTCCTAGACAAGGCCTTTTGTTCAATGCAGACATCAACTTTCCTTTCCACCCCAACTTCCCTTCTATCTACATGGTCATTGTGGGTGACCTCAACGTTCAAGTAGACTTGGATCTCTCAGTTTCTTGAGTATCTCAACTTCAGTGACCACCTCTTCAGTCTACTTCTGCACTCCAACTCGGTCAGGAGTCATCAGGGCCACATCAACAAGTGAAAATGCCCTTCTTCTGAAACACTGAATGAAGACACCCTCCTCTCAGATAACAATCTCCTACACTCCCAAGCCTGCTAGTTCTCTGCTTCTCCGCTCCTGAGATAATCTGTTTCTCAACCTTTCCAGGAACCCTAGTCACTGGTTCTACTTTCCTCTCCATCAACCCCTCCAAACTTGCCTTGTCACAGATTAGATTCCATGGTCCAACGTCTCAATCACTCTCTTACCAATAATGTAAACTACCTTATCCCTCTGTCTTTTATTCCACTCACCAGGCAAAATCGCAATCCTGGAAGAACCCCATTACCCTCCTTTGAGCCATGTACTCCTGCTGCCTTCAGAGCTGGAGGAAATTTAGTAAATGAATATCACAAATTGGTACCACTATATAATGATGCATACATAACATTTTGGTCAACAACAGACCATCTACACTACAGTGGGCCCAGAAGATTATCATGAAGTTGAAAAATTCCAAAGTGGTAGCCATCTAAACATCATAGTGCAACACATTACTCACGTGTTTGTAATGCTGGTGTACACAAACCTACCGCACTGCCAATTATATAAAAGAATAGTATATACAATCATGTACAGTCCATAATGATAATAAACTATGTTACCTGTTTATATGTTTACTATACTATACATTTTATTGTTACTTTAGTGTCTACTCTTTCTACTTACAGTTTTGCTTGTTCTTGATTTAATCTTGTGTTATTTTATACAGTAACATGCTGTACAGGCTTGTAGCCTGGGAGTAACAGGCTGTACCATACAGCCTAGGTGTACAGTGGGCTATAACACCTACATTTGTGTAAGTGCCTCCACGATGTGCTTATGACAAAATGACATCATGATACATTTCTTAGAACCTAACCCCTAAGTGGCACATGACTATAAATTCATGTCACCATTTTAACTGGGCCCTTAACATTTCCCACAATAGTGTTTTCTTGTAATTACTCTCGCACATGGCAATTTCAATCCTATTCTATTCTATTCTATTCTATTCTAATTTCTATCTTATTTTCCTCTTCCTTCCAGTAAATGATATCACCTGCTAATGCAAAGAGAAGATACAACAACAGAAAAAAAATCATCTCAAGTTCTCACCACTAAATCTACACATTCAGGTGTATGAACCAACATTTCCTCCTTTCTTACCACTACAGAGGAGGAGTGCCACCTCCAGTGCTTCAAAACTCATCTCCTTTAACTTTCTCAGGAACCTGCCCCATTTACTTCCGCCTGTATCTTCAGTCTCACTCTCTTTATCAGCACTTTCCCAACAGCACTGAAACAAGTCTTTTAAACAAAGACCTTCCACCTTAAAAGAAAAATAATTCTCCAACTCCACCTGACTCTCCAGCTTCCTGCATCCATTCCCCAACTCTTACCAAACCACTTGAAAATGCTGCCTCGGTTCCTGCTCACTTCTCACTCACCTGAAGTCTGGATTCTACCGCACCACTTGCACTCAAATGATTCTGGGTTAAGACCACCAATGACCTCCAAGTCAGAATATCCAAGGTGATTCCAAGTTCTCACTTATAGGACTTCTCAATGCCATTCATAAGTTACTACTCCCTCCTTGCAACACTGTCTTCCCTTGGCTTCATAACCTGTACTCTCCAGGTTTCCCTCCTACCTGATCATGTTCACTCTCAATCTTTAGGTTTAGTTTGATAGTCCTTATCTACCAGACCACTAATCACTGGCATTCCTCTGGGCCCAGTCCAAAGCTCTCTTCTCAATCCACACTTCCACACTAGGCCATCTTATCCCCTCCCATTGCTTCAATTAACAACAAATACTGGTGGCTCCCTAATTTATACTCCCAACCCTGACCTCTTCTTCTAAGCTGCAGGATCATAAAGCCCATTCACCCCCATTAACTGGATGATTGACACACATCTGCAATGCAATCCAAGTCCAAAACTGAATCATCCTCTTCCCTTCTCCATAAATTATATTTCTCAATCTTTGCTGCACAATGAAATTACCTAGGAAGAGTTAAAAAATACTGATGTCAAAGTTCTATCCCCAGAGGTCGTCCTATCTGAATTGGTCTAATTGCAGCTTGGGCATCAGAATTTTTCAAAGCTCCCTCAGTGATTCTAATGTGCAGCTAAGCCAAGAACCACTACCCTAAAGCCTCGTCATTCTCAAGTGTTTCTCCTATTCAGCAGGACTACTGACTACCCAGTGGTGTAAGCCAAAGGGCTGGACGTCATTGACTCTTGCCTCTTTCTCACCACTGACTCCCCCATGACCCATCCCTTCCAAACAATCATGAATTCAGATGATTCTGTGAATAGCAGGGCAGAGACAGGCACAGTGTATACTCTCTCTCTCCAGTGTAGTATGAAAATGTGAGTGAGGACTACATGTGCTATCAAGCAGTTCTGTGAGTGTGAAAACAAAGCTTACACCCCCCCAAAATCGCAGAGAAACAAAACCGAAGCCCTGATGAACCTTGACACCGATGTGGCTAAGGTTCCCTACTGCTCGATTTCTCAGATACATGGCCCTGTAAGTTCCCTTTTGTTTAAGCCTGTTTACTCTGGATTTTCTGATGCTAGGTAATTAAATGCTCCTAACTAATAAATGCCCTCTCTCCCCCATTATAGACTTCTATAGCAGTTTGCTATTTTGTAATACTTGGTACCTCAGGAATTATTTTCCTTAATGGACTGCCAACTAGATATGGGCTAAGACCATGTCTGTTTTATTCACTCCTGTATTCCTAGTGCCTAATGCAATGTAGCACACAGTAGGTGCTTCATAAGCAATTTGTTCAATAAAAAAATGCAGTGGGTCAAAAACCTGAAGCCACTATCAAGGAACTCTGGTCATTCTCAGCCTTCACATCACCCACTCACAAGTGGCATGAATCCATAACTATAAAAGGGGTTTCAGAAAAAAGATCATCCTTTAGCATTGGTAGATGACACAGGTATGACTCTTAGGGGCAGGAATCATACTCTACCATTTATTATGTATTTCCTATGTAATTCTATTATGCCCCAAGAAAATGCATTTGAGCGCAAGTAATAATATGACCTATCCGTCTTTGAAGCCCCTCAGCACAGTTCCCTGCAAAGAGAAGGCATTCAACCAAAATGTCAGAACACAATGCACACACAGGTGCATGCGCACACACTTCTCTCTCACACACAAATCTAATTCTGGTATGGAGAATTAAAAATCCTTTTTAGTCCGTCCTGGTTATGTCAATAACAAACCCTTCTCTCCTAAATCATGCTTCAAAGGGGCCAGAAAACTCCAACTCTGTAAATCACTTTCCAGATCAACCTGCTACTTACCTTATTTCTCAGATATCTAGAAGAGCTTTTAATATCAGCATTCAGATGTGAAATGTGAATAAATCTTTCAACTCCAGCATCCTTAGACACCTGAGCAATTGTTTGGGGAATCTTCACAAAAACATCCTCAAAATCAAAGTTTCTGGAAGAAAAAAAGGGGGATCAGCTAAGAGCACCTAACTCAGGATTTCAAAGCTTTCTGTGGTAAGCTGATTTTCATATTACTGCTGGAATTCATAATAGCTAAACTATAAAACAGCAATGATTTCATCCAAAATCAAAATTAATGACTTCTACTTTACTGCACACTGTCATTACTGTCTATAATCCAAGGCTTACTAAAGCTACAAATCAGCATGTGCAATATTCTGTATCCTCAGAGAATTCTAAGGCTGAGGCCCTTGAAAAACATCTGGCTGCACTGCTTGGGCAGTGCTGAGGGAAGTGCTAGGGCTGGAAATCTCTTCGTATTCTAGGCCTTTGTTACTCTTGGGGGGTAAAAAGAACCTGAAAAGTCATTTAACCCAGTAACATTGACTAAATGCCTCCTCTGTGTTACACTGTTAGTAGTCACTATGTTGGACATAAAGTTGACTAAGACTCTCCAAGTTATCATCAAAGAACTTAAGAACATTTGATAAGGCAGACATATACAAATAAATCTAAATCAAACTTCAATAAATTCTAAAAACAGGTGTGGACAAAGTGTTATGGAACTACAGGTTTTAAACATCTGTTGATAAACAACTCACACAATAACTAAAAAGAACTGTTCAAATCAGTACTCACACTTTCTTTAATAAACAATGTGAAGAGCAGGTCTAGAACACTGGCACACTAGAAAAACCAATGTTCATCTTGTTGACAGTGGAACAGGCAAAATTCTCCCACCTAACCACATCCCAGCTGGAACGATCCAAGCCCAGGGCCAACACCAATCATCCTGTCCAGTTGACACCAACCACACTGACATAGTCCATATGGACTTTTTATGGGCAGCACATCATACTGCTTACTTACACCAAACTTATGCAACTAAATCCCCTAAGGGTGAGGGGGTCACTGGGTATGCAAATGGTTGGTGTATAAATGCTTATTGATGGGCTAATTTAAAATGTCATCACTACAATACTTAACATATAGATAGTGCCCAATAAATGTCTACTGAACTCTAAGATAGCATACTGTTGGGAACCGCCCTGCCTAGTTTCAGAAGCTATAATCCCCCATGGCTAAGGCTGAGTAAAAAGACGTTGGGACTGTAAGCCAGTAAGGAGACAAAGCTTATCTTCCTGGCAGGGGTACAGCCTCTGCCCCCTTTACTTCACCCTGCTTGGCCCCAGGCAGATGACTGGTTAGCCAATGGTGGGTAAGATTCCTCAAGGGAAGGACAACCTAAGACAGGCACAGTCACAGTAGAGCCATCAGGGAAGGACTGGGGGGACTATACAAAAAGGGGATAATGGACCCTCATCCTTCGGCTTTGACATAGCCTGAATCTTCATTCTGTCTGTAAAAAATCTCCTAATCTCTTAGCTGCCCCCACCCCCCACCTGATTTAAGCCTAAAACAATGCTGGAGGCAGGTGCAGCCTTGTGCTGGACTGGGAGGTTTCCCAGGGCAATCAGGCCTAAGAAAAGAATGCATAAAATCCTGTGAAACCTGGTTTGCTAAGAATGCCCTCAATTTAAATGATAAGGGTCCAAGCATAAAATGAGTTTATTTCCCCTAAGTTTTATGGCCCTTTAGCTATCTGACCCTGACTCAGAATAAGCCTACAGTTCTTTGAATGTTATCTATTATTTCATCATTACTGCCTGACAATGATTGATTAGCTTTATGTATACACCCTGTATTCCTATGCAAATTAAACCCATTAAAAGCCCTTTGAAGAACAGGCTCAAGGCTCTTCTCCTTTGAGAGATTGCCCAAGTAGATCAAGTCTTGGTAGAATTATTCTAATCTGCAATGGGCAGCAGGTTGGGGGTGGGGGTGGTCTTCAGGCAGAGTCCCCCCAAAGCATTCCCAAAGAAAAAATGAGTCAAAGGCTTACTTGGTTTCCCATTCTCGCCCAACAAGATTGATGACCACATTGCTGTGCTTCACTGCTCTTTGGATAGAATCTTTGTTTCTCCCATTCCATTCCTATAACAATAATAGTCAATCAGATGAAAGCATAAGGGGTGGACCCTAGCACTTAACATTTCTGTAGGGCCCTGCCCTCACCCCCACCCCTACCCTCAGTCCTTGGCAAATTTCAAAATGGGCCATCTGTTGCAGTCACAATACGGTGCCACTTCATACAGGCTCCACCATTTATTAAAACAGGAATGATTCTGAGGTCTCAAATCCTGCTGATTCTCTGACTCTTTTGGAGACAAATAGTTGAAAGTCCACTTTCTTTCTTTATCTGAATGGTGGAACTAGTAAAAGAATACTATTCACTTTTAACAGGGCACATCAATTTTTGTCACCCAACTGTCACAAGTCTGTAAAGAAATCCAGTAATCAAGTCTCCCTTCCTGAAATATAATCAACCAAGAAGGATCATCTGGGAAGTAAAATGACTTTTTCTTTTTAGCAGCAATGAGTTATAGATGGAAGATCAGGAGGCTCTCTTAAACGCTAACAATAAATTGGGAGCATTCATAACAATCTTAATGTTTCTTTTAAACTCTTTTCTCTTTACAATCTCAGATGTAGTCATTTCTACTTTAAAGAAATGAAAACAACACTCAAAGAGAAGTGACCTGCCTAAAACTCCTGATTAGCCAATGGCAGATTTTGGTGTAGGACTATACTTCTGAGCATCATAAAGGACTTCAGTAAAATTGATAATTCTTACCCAAAATAGTGACTGGGAATTAAATAATCCCAGAAAAAGGTACAAAGTATTCTATTATAGGAGACTGTTCTGTGTGGCATGGGCCCAGCTCCCACTCAGAAGGCCACAGTGGAAAGCAAGATCCAATACACAGGACTCAAACCCAAGGATAGGTTCTTCGGTGGGGAATCAGGCCTGCATTGTACCTATACTGCTATGAGACTTGCTTTTGCTAAAACTCCCTCACCCTGGATTGAGGCAGCAAGTGCTTACTGTAACTTCCTAAAGTCTGTGCTAAACTTCCCCAGTATGGTATGTAACTGGTTCAACTACTTTTCCCCTTGGTCTGCAGCATCATCCTTCTCTTTGAAGTAATTAGACCATTCTTTCCTTTGTTTTCTGTAAAAGGTAACCACCTAAAGCGAACCTGTGCATAGTAAATGAGGACCCTCCTCAATGTAATGTGCCCAGAAAAACAATGAAAGGCTGTCAACGAAAGGGTCAGCACACCCTCCTCTTGAGAGAGCGGCTGAGGTACTCCAAGACATTCTCCCCTTGAGGGAGTGGCTGTGTGGTCCCTTTTCCTCCACAGGACTCGGTAGTCTGTGTGAATTTGTATTGTCTTATCCATAACACCATGGACCCCATGAGCCAGGATCCACATCATTCTATGTTAAAATGAAATGATTTTTAAAGTATTTTAATGAAAGATAATAAAAATTTCACAGGGTCAAACACCTGTGTAATTTAGTAAAGAGTAAAAGGTCTACAGAAATCAGATTAAAAAACAAAAAGATGAAGCCCTCAGCAGGAAAAACTACTTAGAAAAACTAGTTAGGATAGAGAGCAGGGTGCAAGGGACAATATGGAATAACAACTTTGCAGTCAGACAGAAATGCAAATTCCAGATTGCTATTTACTAACTCAGTACAAATGATCTCTCTAGCCTCCATGTAAAATTTGAAATTATAGCCCAAGTCATGGGGTTATCATGAAGATTTTGTAAAATATACATAAAATCTGCAGCATGGTGACACACTTATTAAAAACAAACAAACAAAAAAAAAAGCAGCACAGAGAAGGGAGAAGATGGAGGCAAAATAGTTGGGAGCCGAGCCCACTTGCTCTTGCCCCCAACTCAGACACTTAGCTGATCTTCTGAAAAACAAAGTTAACAGTCAACAGACTCTTGGCTGATATGAAGTTTAGAATCCAAAGACTACAGAGGACACTTCAAAATGAATGCTAAGGAGGTTTTATAGGTGGACTGGGAAAGTCCCCCAGTGTGGCACCAGCAACTGTGGCTGCTGCATCGTCAGCATCTGTGGAGAGCCTGGTCAGAGTTGGCAGCATAGCAGCTCCCACTCCCCTCCCAGGGCTGGGAATCCCCAGACCCTACTGGTAGCAACTTGAATATGCAAAATCATCAGAGAGAAGCAGGCTACACAAACACACAGCTAGCGGCACACCCTAGGTGAAGGCTGACTGGGATAGTGCCAGAGAGGAGAGAAATGTTGCCGGCACCTGGACCTGGGGGAAAAAGAGGCCACAGCTGGCCATGACTGAGATAGACTCTTGACTTATTGGAGAGGTGGAGTATGTGGAAAGCTGGGCACTGCAGTGGGAGCGCCCAGAGAGATGTTTCTTAAAAAGGGGAGCTGAGGCATGCTGGGCAGAGACCCTGCATGCGCAGCTGCCCTGCCAACAAGGAGGGAGGGTTGTGGGTGCAGTCTGCTTCCACTCAGTACACCCAAGCAGATTACTTAAAGGAGTTCGAAGAGAGGTGGTTTCTCGGCCCCAGACCAGTGCAACAGCGCAGAGTGGAAAGTGTGGGCCACAGCATGCCATGAGGACAGTGGGCCAGGAACTGTGCACCTGAGATTATTTGAGGCCAGACTGGGCCCCCTTCCTTGGCGAAACTTCTGGGAAGAGGAGGTTGAGTCCAACCCCCACCTCCTGCAGGAACAGGGAAGATCTCCAAAACTTCCTGGGCAGCTTTAACAACCTGCAGGGGTCACTTCCACAAGAGTAAGACAGCAAGAGGAAAGCCTAAGAGGGCCCATTTTGAATTCCCCACGGGAAGATGAAGTATACTGGGTCCTAGGGCTCTATTTCACTGAGGCCCTAAAAGCAGGAAGCTCAGAAAGTGGGCAGCAAGAAAGATTCAGGGCCCCGCTCAGCCTCAGCTCCCACGCAGAGCTACATCAAGCAGGAGAGGGCTCACACTTTTACACAGATTGCCTCCCCCCACCATGAAACAGACAACTATTTAATCAGAAACTATACATTACTGGAAATAAACTGGGACAGACTAAGATGGGAGGTGTAGAAACAGGGGGAACTAACCCATAATTTTCCCAGAAGACTGCACAGTGCCTGCCATGGGAGATGCAAAAGCCTCACCCTCTGAATTACAACAGAAGCTCCCTCTACAGGCAGGGGAAGGAGATACAGGCAGTATTGCCAGAAGCTGGATGACTGACCCTGGGACCTTGAGCTGATAAAAACCCAGAGACAATCCAGAAAGAAGTCAGAAAGCAAACACCAACAGGTGAGACAAATTTCACCTCACTCTTCCTGAGAACTTGGGTGTTTTTTTCTTTTCTTTTTTCCTTTTTTTTTCATATAGGCTTTTAATATTTCTCTTGCTTCAATCATATTCCACCTAACTCACCACTCTTGGTCTTTTATTTTTTATTCTTTTTAATTCAGATTATATATATTTTTTCATGTTATTGTTATTTCAATTCCTACATAGCACCCTTCCCTGGTCTTACTCCATTTTGCCATCTTTCTGACCTTTCTCATTGTTGTTATAAACTTTATCTTCTCCCATGCTATGTCATGTTCCTATTCCTTCCTCTTACTATTTCTCCTCCTCCTATTCTTGCAAAAACATTCTTTCTTCCTTAAGTCAGCTCACATTCTCCCCCCAGCCCTTATACTAATCTTATATCCTTTCCACCTTTATAAATTGTGGCTCTTGAGTGAGGATATCACGGTTATTGCTGTTCTTCTCTAACGGAACTCCTGTTCATTCACCATTTGTTTGTACTTTAAATTCCATAGTATACTCTCCCCCTATCTTCCTCCATTGTGCCTTCTCTCACCCTTGGTAAGTTGAATTAGGAATTTTATTTTAGTTTTTTTCCCCTTTCTTAGCTTAGCATCTACTCCTAACTCTTATTATAATGTTTTCCTCCTCCATCCTCTCAAAATCATTTTTCTTTACTGTAGATATTTCATATTAAATTTTTCTCTTTGTACAATACTCTTATTCCTTTTCCACCTTTATTAATCTTCACTCAGCTGTGTTGCTATTGACACTGCTGTGATTTTTCTGCAATTTTGTTCCTATTGGTTCAATACCTTTTTAATATTACTTCAAACCTCATGGTATATACTCTTCCCATTTCTTACTCCATTTTTGCCATCACCTTTCCATACTTTATGTACATTTTAAATTTTGTTCTCTCCCATTCTTTACCTCATTTAGATTCCCTACTCTTATTATTTCTCCTCCCTCTGCGCATTCAAAATCATTTTTCCCTCTTTTAGTCATATCATATTCCCTTTTCCTGTTTTATAACATCCTTAATCTCTCTCCAACTTTATTAATGTTTCCTCAATTGCTGTTGATATTGCTGATGTGGTAGGGTTTTTGTTTTCGTTTTTTCTGTCCTGGGTTTGGATTTCTGGTAATACTGCTTTGTTAACCAATACCTGTACAATAGCATACAAGACGCAGTCAGAGTTGTGACTACCAGTAACCCAGCTAGAGGGGAAAATACACCAACAAACGAACCACCAGTAAGCAAAGCCCAGGTACAACAATGGAGCCCACACAAACTGAATAAAGGGCAACCCTAGGGCATCCAGATAAGGAGATGAAAGTGCCTAGACCACTGAGTCCTACAGAACTCCTACCACAGAAATCTATCCAACAAAGACAGGCAGGCAAAGCAGAGCATCCTGAGACAAACAAAAACAAACAAAAACAAAGAGTCACCTAAAATAGGCAGACAAAGAGAGAACCCCCAATCGAAAGGAATGGAGGAATCCCGAGAAAAAGAGCTTAAATAAAATTGAGGCAAGCAATCTATCAGACACAGAATTCCAAAAAATGGTTATAAGCATGCACAAGAAATTCAGTGACAACAATAAGGAAGTGAGTAGGAATTATAACAGCATAAAAAAAATAGAAGCTATAAACAAGTACCAGGGACAAATGAAGAATACTATATCTGAAATTAAAAAATTACACTAGAAGGAATTACAATCAGGCTGGATGAAGCGGAGGACCAAATCAGCAAGTAGGAAG